TAGTGATTTTTACACAAACAAATATATGCTGTACCTAATAGATGCAGTAACAGGGATTTTCTTTTTATTTCTTTTTTTTTTTTTTTTTTTTTTTTGAGATGGAGTTTCGCTCTTGTTTGTCCAGGCTGGAGTGCACTGGTGCAGTCTTAGCTCACTGCAACCTCCACCTCCTAGGTTCAAGCGATTCTCCTCCTCAGCCTCCTGAGTAGCTGGGATTACAGGCATGTGCCACCACACCCAGCTAATTTTTGTATTTTTAGTAGAGACGGGGTTTTTCAGTCTGGTCTCAAACTCCCGACCTCAGGTGATCCGCCTGCCTCGGCCTTTCTTTTTTCTTTTTTTCCCTAGTTCTCGTGGTCCTCAATTATTTTATTTTATTTTATTTTATTTTACTTTATTTTTTTGAGACAGAGTCTTGCTCTGTCGCCAGGCTGGAGTGTAGTGGCGGGATCTCGGCTCACTGCAACCTCCTACTCATGGGTTCTCCTGCCTCAGTCTCCTGAGTAGCTGGGATTACAGGCACACGCCACCATGCCCAGCTAATTTTTGTATTTTTAGTAGAGATGGGGTTTCACCATGTTGGCCAGGATGGTCTGGATCTCCTGACCTCGTGATCTGCCCACCTTGGCCTCCCAAAGTGCTGAGATTATAGGCGTGAGCCACCACGCCCGGCCTATTTTATTTTATTTTTGTTTTGTTTTTTGAGATGGAGTATCAATATCACTCTGTTGCCCAGGTTGGAGTGCAGTGGTGCCATTTTGGCTCACTACAACCTCTGCCTCCTGGGTTCAAACAGTTCTCCTGCTGAGGGATTACAGGTGCAAGCCATCATACCTGGCTAATTTTTTTCGTATATTTAGTAGAGACAAGATTTCACCATGTTGGCCAGGCTGGTCTTGAACTACTGACTTCGGCCTCCCAAAGTGCTGGGATTACAGGCATGAGCCACCGCGTCCAGCCTATTTCATTATTATTATTATTATTATTATTATTATTATTATTTGGTAGAGATGGGGTCTCACTGTGTTGTCCAGGCTGGTCTCAAACTCCTGGGCTCAAGCTCCTGCTTCAGCCTCTGAAAGTGGTGGGATTACAGGAATGAGCCACTGCACCCAGCCTACTAAGGTATTTTCAAGGGTAATTTTAACTATGTGACATAATTATAATTTACTTCTCCTCATTTTCTATTCCTTTAAAATGAAAGCTTGTGACAGTCCAGCCCCTTCAGCCTGGAGTCCCACCTCCCAGTCCCTACATGTGCTGTCTCTCACCAAGGTTGCCAGTGACCTCTGACCAAAACAATCTTGTAAGTAATCAAAACTGAATTTTCTACCTTATTCTGTTCTCCTTGACCCTTCTTTTGCTCTGCACTCTCTTTCTTTGTCCCCTCGCCCATATTTCACTCACTCATTCTCATAGTTCAACTCCTGACTAAAGGCTGACACACTTCCCAAATCCCTGTCTCCAGCCCAGGCCTCTCATTCTGCCTCCAGACCTGCCATTTTTTGTGTGTGTTCTGGATGGTTTCATTTGCGTGTGGCTCAGACATCTCAAAAACATATCCTAAACCGAACTCACCATCTCCCTCTCTCACCCTCCTGCCCCTGCCCTCAATTACTCCTCTTTCTGTCATCTTCATCTGGATTGGTGGCAACACCTTCCAATCAATTTTTCCAGGCTAGAAACTTCCCTTTCTTTCTCTCTCTCTTTTTTTTTGAGGTGGAGTCTCGCTCTGTTGCCCCAGTTGAAGTGCAGTAGCGCCATCTTGGCTCACTGCAGCCTCCACCTCCCTGGTTCAAGCAATTCTCCTGCTTCACCCTCCAAAGTAGCTGGGATTACAGGTGCCCACCACCACACACAGCTAATTTTTGTATTTTTAGTAGAGACAAGGTTTCACCATGTTGGCCAGGCTGGTCTTGAACTCCCAACCTCAGGTGATCTGCCTGCCTCGGCCTCCCAAAGTGCTGGGATTACAGGCGTGAGCCACTGTGTCCAGTCTCAACTTCACATCTAATCAGTCACCAAATCTTGCCATTTTATCAGTGTTTCTTGAATTATTTTCATCCTTATTTCTACTGTCCTATTTCAGGCTCTTGACACTTGTCACCTGGTTTGCTGGAAATGGTGTCTTTACTTCCAGTCCTATTTTTTTTCTTTTTTTTTTTTAATTTTTTAGATAGAGTTTCACTCTTGTTGCTCAGGCTGGAGTGCAATGGCGCGATCTCAGCTCACTGCAACCTACGCCTCCCAGGTTCAAGCAATTCTCCTGCCTCAGCCTCCTGAGTAGCTGGGATTACAGGCATGTTCCACCATGCCTGGCTAATTTTGTATTTTTAGTAGAGATGGGGTTTCTCCATGTTGGCCAGGCTGGTCTTGAACTCCCAACCTCAGGTGATTCGCCCGTCTTGGCCTCCCAAAGTGCTGGGATTACAGGCGTGAGCCACCGCGCCCAACCAACTTCCAGTCCTGTTTCCTTTGAAGCCTCCTCTACATTGCTGCCAGGGTGGTTTTTCTAAAATGCAGATCTGGCCAGGCACAGTGGCTCACGCCTGTAATCCCAGTACTTTGGGACGCTGAGGCAGGAGGATCACTTAACCCAGGAGTTCGAGACCAGCCTGGGCAACAGAATGAGACTCTGTCTCTATTTTAAAAATTAAAAAATAATAATAATATATATATATATATATATATTTTTAGATGGAGTCTTGCTCTGTCACCCAGGCTGGAGCGCAGTGGCGCGATCTCGGTTCACTGCAAGCTCCGCCCCCTGGGTTCACTCCATTCTCCTGCCTCAGCCTCCCGTGTAGCTGGGACTACAGGTGCCCACCACCATGCCTGGCTAATTTTTTGTATTTTTAGTAGAGATGGGGTTTCACCGTGTTAGCCAGGATGATCTCGATCTCCTGACCTCGTGATCCGCCTCCCTCGGCCTCCCAAAGTGCTGGGATTATAGGCTTGAGCCACCGCGCCCAGCCAATAATTTATGAATTTAAAAAATAAAAATAAATTAGCTCGGCATGGTGGTATTTATGCACCTGTAGTCCCAGCTACGCAGAAGGCTGAAGTGGGAGGATCACCGGAGCTCAGGAGGTTGTGGCTTCCATGAGTTGTGATCATGCTACTCCACTCCAGCCTGGGTGACAAAATGAGACCCTGGCTCAAAATATATAAATAAATCAAATGCCTATCTGACCATGTTCCTCTCCTGCTTCTATCCTACGGTGGCTCCCCATCACTGGCCTGTCCTATGAGAAAACATTTATATTCCTTAACTTGGCCTAGAAGGCCTCTGTGACTTGCTGTCTACTTCTCTGGCCCTTCTCTTGCTTCCTTCCTGGCTGTAGCAACCTTGAAGATACCGTACTTCCCCAAACCCACCTGCTGATTCTTGCTTTTTTTCATGCGGACTCCTCTGTCTGGAATGTCTTCTACATGCAGCAACCCTAACCCAACCTCCATACTGTAGAGAAGTGGCTGGTCTCAGGCCAATTCCTAGTCACCCTTTTAGATTCAGCCCAGGCCAGGCGCGGTGGCTCACGCCTGTAATCCCAGCACTTTGGGAGGCCGAGGCTGGCAGATCACGAGGTCAGGAGTTCGAGACCAGCCTGGCCAACATAGTGAAACCCCATCTCTACTAAAAATACAAAAATTAGCCGGGCATGGTGGCATGCACCTGTAGTCCCAGCTACTTGAGAGGCTGAGGTAGGAGAATCACTTGAACCCAGGAGGCGGAGGTGAGCCAAGATCATGCCACTGAACTCCAGCCTGGGCATCAGAGCAAGACTCCATCTCAAAAAAAAAAAAAAAAAAGATTCAGCCCAGTGTGAAGGTGTGAACCCCTTCTAGGACATGAAAAGATTCAGCCCAGGTGTGATCCTCTTCTAGAACATGCTCCTTTCCTAACTGCTTGAACCCCAGAGAGAAGTCCTATTCTTTTTACTTCTATAGTACTTTCTTTATATCTCCATAATTTTATTTACTATTAATACATGATACATTGTTTTATAAAAGTCTTTGTAACCTCCTTAAGGATTCACTGCTTAATCTCCAGTGCTTAGCACAAATCATTAAATGCGAACCAGAAACTGTTCCAAATGTGTTACATCTATAACCTCATTGGATCCTCACTACCAACCCCATGCAATAGATACTAATGTGATCTCTGTCTTACAGAGGAAGAAACAGGCACAGGGAGGTTCAGTAATTTGCCCAAGATCATACACACAGTGGCCTTCAGGTATTCATGAATGGGGAGTCTGGTTCCACAGTTACCATGTTTGCCATTATATTATATTACCTCCTTATTAGTGTCCACACTCTGTAAGCACATTGACATCTACGCTCGTTGAGTGCATACCATGTACCCAGCTCTGTGCTACATGTTTTACCTGGATTATTTCAACTGCACAACAACCCTGTGAGGTAACTACCATCATTGCTCCCATTTTACATAACAGAAAACTATAGAAATCTGGGGCTAGGCGTAGTGGCTCATGCCTGAAATCCCAGCACTTTGGGAGACCCTGTCTCTAAAAACATTTTTTTTTTGGCTGGAAGTGGTGGCTCACCCCTGTAATCTCAGCACTTTGGGATGCCGAGGCAGGCAGATCACAAAGTCAGGAGTTCGAGACCAGCCTGGCCAACATGGCAAAACCCTGTCTCTAGTAAAAATACAAAAAATAGCCAGGCATAGTGGTGGGCGCCTGTAATCCCAGATACTCAGGAGGCTGAGGCAGGAGAATCGCTTGAACTTGGGAGACGGAGGTTGCAGTGAGCCGAGATCGTGCCACTGCCCTCCAGCCTGGGTGACAGCAAGACCCTGTCTCAAAAAAAAAAAAAAAAAAAAGAAATCTGGCAACTTCCCAGAGATCACACAGTTAACTAGTGGCATAGCTTCACCCAAACTCCAAGTCTCAGCCAGGACACTCTACCAAATGAGATCAACGGCTCAGTAATGGATTGGCATCCAGTATGAAGACTGGACCAGCAGGGAGAACTATGATGCGTACAGCCCAGAGCCTGAAGCAGATTTCACAGCCTCAGAGGTGGCACAGGCTGACTCAAAACCCGGGGCAGAAAGGGACCAACCCAGAAACAGTGACCCAGAATCACAGGGAAATAGAAATGGGAGTCAGCACAACGAAGCCCCTCCTTGACCCCATGCTCCTTATCCACAGGGTCGCAGGAGTTAGTTGCTCAGGCGGTTCAAAGGTCTTGACGGTGAACACCATCCACAGGGATTCCCGAGGCGGTGATGCCATCAAAGCCTTAATTCTGAGCTGGGCCTGCTCGGGTGCGGACTCTGCCGCAGGGAGAGAAGGGTTAATCGCCCCGGGCCTTCGCCGTGGGGGCGGGGCTTCGGGGAGGGTCACAGCCCGGTGCGGAGACCCGAGGTTAACCGCCCGGGGTGGGCTGAAGGGGCGAGGCCATACAGGGGCGCGGCCTCGGGCTGCACAACCCGGGGCGGCGATGAGAGGGTTAACGCCCCGGAGGGCCCTGGCGGGGCGGGGCCGCGGGGTGAGCGCGGCCCGAGAGAAGTGCTGGGGGCGGAAGCGGCAGGCGGTCTGCGCCCTGCGCGCCTCGGCTTCTTTCCGCCCGGCTCTTCCAGAGGCCCGGCGACTTCCTGGGCTGGGAAGCCAACCGAGGTTCGGGGGCAGCGGCGAGGGCTCGGGGCGAGTAAGGCGGATGGTCCCTGCTGAGGCCCAAAGGGGGCGAACTCGCGAAAGTCTCGGGCGACCTGGGTCAGATGGGGCGAGGGCAGATGAGGGGTCCGGGAGCTTTGGGGCAGCGAGGAGGGAGGAGCGGGCCAGTTGGCAAACTTGGGTGAAAGGATGGGGTGCCTGGGTGACGACCCCCCGCCAGGATTCTGCTCCTCACACCCCTTTTCTCCCAACTCCCTTCCAGGCCAATCTCAAACTGGAGCTCAACTTTTAGAAGAGAGACGCCCCAGCAAGCCTCTTTCGGGGAGTCCTATAGCTCCTCACCTCCATGGGCGAGACAGCCCTGGCGGGGGGCAGCAGCAGCACCCCCACCCACGGGCCCTGTACCCTGACATCTCCTGTCCCGAGGGCTTGGAAGAGCTGCTGTCTGCACACCGTCCTGACCGGGGGCCCAACGACGCCACGGTTGGAACCCCATAGACTCTTCAGAGAACATCGAGGTCAAGGAAGGAGGGTTGTACTTTGAGCGGAGGCCCGTGTCCCAGAGCACTGATTGTGTCCGGGGTAAGAGGGGCTATTCAAGAGGCCTGCACGCCTGGGAGATCAGCTGGCCCCTTAAGCAGAGGGGCCCGTAGGCCGTGGTGGGCGTCGCCACGGCCCGCGCCCCGCTGCAGACTAAGCACTACGCGGCGCTGCTGGGCAGCAACAGCGAGTCGTGGGGCTGGGACATCGGGCGGGGAAAGCTGTACCATCAGAGCAAGGGGCCCGGAGCGCCCCAGTATCCAGCGGGAACTCAGGGTGAGCAGCTGGAGGTGCCAGAGAGGCTGCTGGTGGTTCTGGACATGGAGGAGGGAACTCTGGGCTACGCTATTGGGAGCACCTACCTGGGGACAGCCTTCCGCGGACTGAAGGGCAGGACCCTCTATCCGGCAGTAAGCGCTGTCTGGGGCCAGTGCCAGGTCCGCATCCGCTACCTGGGCGAAAGGAGAGGTGAGGCCTGGGGCAGATGTGGGGAGAACTTTGTGTCCCTGGTGGCAGCGGTTTGGGATGGAAACTCTTCTGACAAGAGCAGAGGGGATGCACCTTCATCCAGCCTGCCTCTCACCTCTGTTCAATGCTGGGAAAGGCTAGGGGTCTTTACAGCTGTTATTTAATCCAACAGCAATAGAGGTGAAACAGGCTTGAGAAAGCAACTTCCTCAAGTTTTCTTGGCCAGTAAATGGTGAACCTTCAGAATGGAGGGAGGCACTCCAGGGATGAGAGAATTCAGGAGATATCAACCCCTGAGCAAGAGGCGCAAAGGGTTAGGTACTGGCTTTGATGTACAGGTCCAAAAGGAGGAGGACAGGCAGAGCCAGGTACCCAGGGTGTGTACCGGATTCTCCGGGCTCTGACCTGTCTCTGTGCCACATACCCACTTCCTTCCTCAGCCAAACCTCAGAATGGAGACACTGGGGCCCTGGGCACCAGGGAGGAGAGCAGTGGAGGAGGCAGGGCCTTAGGGAGGGGCAGCAGGGGAGGAGCCTTCCCAGGAACTGACTGGGGCCAGGGCTTGGAGCTGCTCTCTGCAGTTGTGTGAGCTGTAGAGTGGACGGCCATCCTTCCTCACCTCAGCCCCAGCTCCCAAGCCTCTGGAGTCAAAGCCTGGGCCAGCTCCACCACGGTCAGAGCCACCTTGGCCTGTCACTTAGAGGGCCTTAGCCAGCGCTTCACCCCAGCTCTGACTAGGGATGTGTGAAATCTTAACTGGGAGGCAGAACTTCAGGGCATCTCAGATTCCCTTTCAGCCAAGGTGGGCACACTCAAAGCAGGAAAGCAGAAAGGCATCTGGGCAGGACCCTGTAGTTTGAGGACATCTGACTGGTGGCTGCACCCATACTCACATTCGCCTCCTTCTCTCTCCCAGCGGAGCCACACTGTCTTCTGCACCTGAGCCGCCTGTGTGTGCGCCACACCCTGGGGGATACCCGGCTCGGCCAGGTATCTGCCCTGCCCTTGCCCCCCGCCATGAAGTGCTACCTGCTCTACCAGTGAGCCCTGTGATACCACGGACTGTGCTGAGGCCTTGCCACCACCCCTCCCCTTGGGGAGGTGGGGAGGCACTGCTGGCCTAGACCAGCTATTGAAAGCTGGTGAGGCTGGGCCCCTACCCCAACCCAAGCTCTGAGGAAATCAGCCCCAGAGCCACTCAGAGGAAGAGAGGGAGCTGGCATTCAAGGCTATGACAGTTTGCTACGCAAAACGTTTTTTTCTAGTAAAAACAGTAAGAGGTACTATTATAAAACCTGTTCTTGGTTTTGTTTTGTTTTTTTTTGCACAAAGGATCATTTATATAGCTGCCTCAAAAAGGAAGATTATCTGGGCAAGTCCACTGAAGGCAGACAGACCACAAGACCTAGTGCCAGGTGTTTATTCCGTCACATGTGGGTGGTTCACGTACACAGCACACAGGCATGGGCACCATGGGAGAGGGCAGCACTCCTGCCTTCTGAGGGGAGGATCTTGGCCTCACTGTGTAAGAAGGGAGAGGATGGCTTCTTTCCTGCCCTCACTAGGGCCTAGGGAACCCAGGAGCAAATCCCACCCCTTCCACCTCTCAGCCGAGGAGAAGCCACCTTGGTGACATTTAGTTCCAACCATTATAGCAAGTGGAGAAGGGATTGGGCTGGTCCCAACCATTACAGGGTGAAGATAGTAAAGGAAGGTACAATTTGGATGAGGCCACAGGAAGGAGCAGGCGACACCATCAGAAGCATGTGCGGGGGAGGGGCAGTGACTGGGCTTCTGGGCTGCTTAGTCCCTGGCTTGGCAGGAAGGGTAGGGAAGATGGATGGGGCTCATTGTTTGGCATTGATGATGTCCACGAATTCGGGCTTGAGGGAAGCACCACCCACAAGGAAGCCATCCACGTCAGGCTGGCTGGCCAGCTCCTTGCAGGTTGCCCCAGTCACAGAGCCTGGGAAGGGAGCAGAACAAGGGCTTGGTCAAGAATGAGATGAGTATACCCCATCCCCATCTCCATGTCCGAGGGCTCAGTCTAGTCCTCAGCCCACTCCCCCTCAGCCGGGAACCAAAGCCACTCACCTCCATAAATGATACGGGTGCTCTGAGCCACTGCTTCAGAGACGTTGGACTTAAGCCATCCTCGGAGCTTCTCGTGTACTTCCTGGGCCTAGAACAAGAAGCTGGACTAAGTAAGGCCTTTTCTGTCTAAGAGGAAAAATCACTGGCACCAGTGGACACTTAGTGTGGTTTCTGACTGAGTCAGAGCACCAGGGCTCCGATCCAAGCCAGGCCCTGGACTGGATGCCCTCGGACAAGTCACTGTCTCTGGGCCCAAGGTCTCCGTCTCTTTGAAGTAAGGGGTTGCCCAAGATGGTCTGTGTCTGTCCAAACCTACTGAGGCAGGCTGGGATGAGGGCAGGGCTCCTGGGCTCGGTTACCTGTTGGGGCGTTGCAGTCTTGCCAGTACCAATGGCCCACACAGGCTCATAGGCCAGGACAACCTTGCTCCAGTCTTTCACATTATCTGCAGGGCACAGATCACAGATGGAGGGAAGGGTGAACAAGAAAGAACTCTCCAGCAAGGTTCTCCAGGAGTATGAAGAACGGTGGCCTACTGCCCCCTGGTGGACACTGGGGGATTTCCAGGTGGCGTCTACCTTGGGGGCTGGAGAAGTGATAGGCCCCAAGCAAGGATTCTCACTCCCCCTCCCCCTTTTCCTTTTCTGGATCAGCATGGGGACCAAGACAGGCTCCAGGGCCTGACCCTACCCTCTGAGTCTCTGTGGCCCTGGATAGGCTCAAAGGTCCCTTTTTCCAGAGATACCTGCGATGACCTTTGTCTGCTCGAAAACAACCTTCTCAGTGATGCCAGCTTCCCTTTCATCTAGCTTCTCCCCAATACAGGCGATTACTCCGAGTCCCTCAGCCAGAGCATGGGCCACTTTCTGCCCAATCAGCTGTTGAGAAACAGACTTGGTGAGACATCCTTCTTGGAAAAAGACATCCCTTATCTTCTCTCTTGGCTACTAACCTCATCTGACTCCCCAAAGACATGCCTTCTCTCTGAGTGCCCCAGGACCACCCACGTGGCTCCGCAGTCTTTGATCATGCCAGGGCTAAAGGAGAGATGAAGCCAAGGTTCAGCAGGGAGCCCATCCTGTGGCTTTCCCCTCAAAGCCACAGGGGAAGTGTGAGGGAAGGGTCCCACACACCCCTCTCCACCTCGGTCTCACCTGATCTCCCCAGTAAAGGCCCCATTAGTCACTTTGTAGCAGTTCTGTGCAGCCACAGCAATCTTGGGATCTAGCTTCTGCCGGGCGAAGTCGATATAGGCAGTGGGGGGAGCACAAACCACTTCTGAGGGCAAGATGGTACCACAGGGGGATGAGACTAAAGAAAGCCTTCATTCTCCACAATTCCTAACCGGTGCCCTGGAGCCCCAAAGCCCTCACCCTCTTCTTCTTGGTTCTGCTCTCCTCCCCTTTTCACCCCGGCAAGATGACCTCTGTCCACTTTCCAGCCAAGGCTGGGTCTGCACTCAACTTGAAGAGCCTTCCAGATACCCCTGAGAGGCCACGGCCCTCGCCTTGCCCTCTGCTCTTTTAACAGCTGTGGCTCCAATTTCCTCGAGCTATTCTGGGCATAGGCACCTCACAGACTCAGCATTCTGTAGGGGCCAACTCTGCTTCCTTTCTAAAATAGCCCATCCTCATCTCCCCTTTGCAAGGCAAGGATCTGTAGCAAAAGGAGAGGGGCCAACTCCTGGGGTTTGTATTGGGGCCTCTAGGGAATGAACGAGAAGGGGATGCCTCTTTGGATCAGGCCCGTGACTCTCCGATTTCGGTGGAGGGAGGAAGGAGGATGGAGGAGAGCATCCTTTGCCCGTGGGTGGTAGAGCTAACTGACTCAGAGGCCTTGCGCTTTGCAGTTTCCAGGTTGGGGAAGGCGGTAGGATGGCTCTTCACTCCCAAATCGCTCAGGCTATTTGGCACCAGCTCGGTCCCTTCAGTGGAAGGCGGGAGTCGCACAGGTTGCCCAAGGGAAGGGGTCAGATCTGAAGGCTCAGGGACCCCGAGCAGCTAGGCGCGGGGACCCGGCCGCTAGCAAGGAAGGGGAGGAGTCTGGGGCTACGTGCTGCGGCGCACGGCGCGGGAGGCCAAGGGGCAGGTAGCGGGAAGCCCACGCGGCCCAGCCTCCTCCCCCACCCCGGGGTCTGCGGTCAGCCTCCCCTGGTCTCCCGCAGAGCCTCGGGTTCCGCTCCTAACCCGTCGCGTGGCGGACACAGCCCCAGTGCGCGCCCCGGGGCCACCTTCCTCCAGAAGACCCAAAACGTCCTTACCTGCCCCACGGTCGAAGGGGCATCATGTGCTCCGCCCTGCCCCCTCGACGCACCGACGGGGCTGCGGCTGCGAGGCCCCTGCCGGGACCCCAGCGGCCTCGTCCCACAGACCTGCACCATCAGGTCCGTGCGCACACCGGCCTCGAGGCCTCGGGAGAGGACGCTGCCACTCCCGCCCCGGCCCCGGCCCCGGCCCGGCCCCTCCTCGGCGAGGGCTTACCGGTGTCTGCCGGCACCTTGGCCGCGTTCAGAGTGCCGATGAGCTCCCCCAGATTCTGCTTCCGCCCGTTCATCTTCCAGTTCCCCCCAACGAAGAACTTCCTGGAAGGCGCCATGGCGATGGAGCCGAGACGCTGAAGGTCAGTGTCTGCGCGCAGCCGCGGCCACTGCCCGCTTATATAGAGCGCCGCGAAGTGGAACTCCGCCTCCTCGCCGTCCTCCGCCATGGCCCGCCCGGTCCCCCGGAGCCCTGCCCCCCGCCCGCCCTCCTGCAGCGGCCTCGGCCGCCGCCCCGTGTTGCACTGTTCCGACGTTCCCCCTTCTTGTGGCAACGTTCTAGGCGCGTCGGGGGCTCGGTCGCCTCCGCCTCGATTGCGGGGCTTTCGGGACAAGGCAAGACCTGTGAGCTCCGGCACTCAGGGGAACCCTCGCTTGGCGACTTGAGTCCCCCACGGGGCCAGAAGTAGTTCAGCGGAGCTAGCTGTTGGCAACTTGGCCGTAGCCCACATCGCCTACTGTGGCAGAGAAGGCCCCTCTCCAACTATGGGATAGACAACCACCTTCCCCCATCGGAGCAGCTCGTGCCCGACTACTGAGCAGGCAACCTTGTACCCAGGGAGTCTACCTGAGTCAAAACTCGCGGGACAAATACAGGGTTCACAGCGGGAGGGGCAGCCCAGAGAGGCATAGGCCACCAGGAGTGTCCCAACCCTCGCCCCGGCTGGCAAGGCCTGGCAGGAACTGTAGGGACTGAGTCCCAGACTGAAGCCAGCTAGCCACTAGGGATATCTGGGAAATACTCGGACTCCTGTGTGACTAGAGAAGGGCTCTTCACTCCATCTTTCCTTAGCTTTGTGTCGGCACTTTGTCACTCTACACCTCCCCACCCAACCCCAATTTTCCTAGAGCTCTAGAACGAGTGAAAAGTGGAGACTTGCCTTTCGGGGGGAAGGGGCCAGAGTTAGGAGTTTTCTGAAACGTCCTCCTGCTAACCCCGGGAAGGTAAGCCTCTCCCAAGGTATCAAACAGGACACAATTTAGCAGTTGTACTTTTATTCACATCGTGTTTTGGCATTTTCCAGAGAAGGACAAGGAAGAGACAGGGTGGGGGAAAGACTGAGGCAGGAGGGCAAGGGGGGGGGGTCCCTATTTCCCTCACATCCCTCCTTGACCAACCACACAGGGGCAAACAAAGGGGGAGGGGAGGCACAGGTGCTCACTCACCTGGGAGAGGACACACAAAGCTACACCCACGCGCGCGCACAAATGAGACCCCTCCCTCCACACCAGGGGGCTGGGCAGGGCGACAGAGAAGCAGAGCACTGTGGATTCCCGGGCAGGGGAAGCAACAAAGTCTCCTTACAGACAGGTGGCCGGCCCCTCCCGTCCCCATCCTGCTCCATCCCCAGAGTCTATCGATGCCCCTCTGCTCTGCCCAGCCATTCTCCCACAGCCTCCAGCTTCTTCCCTGCTGCCGGGGACAAAAGGAAAAAGGGTACAGAGCAGAAGGGCTAAAGTCCATCCCTCAGCCCCTCTCCCTCATGCCAGGTGGTCTTCCCCTGCCCCCATTGGTAAGGGGTGAGGCAGGCTCTTAGCTGGCCACTCTCTGGTAGAAGTAGATGTAGCCCAGGTCCTTGGGCGGCTTCTCAGAGGCACACACTTTCTGGTCATTGTAGATCACCCATCTGGGGAAGTGGGGAAAACAGAAAACGATGAACAAACGGGGCATTCCAAGTGTCATCATGTAGTCTCTCAGCCATGGCCCCTGGAAGTGCTCTCCACATTCTCTGCCCGTACCCCAAATCCACAGCCCAGCCACCACCTGCTGTAAGGGAGCTTCACAACCTAAAGGGCCCCTATTATGTCTTCAGATCCTCCAGTACCTCTGCAACCACCCACAACCCATTCCAGGGAGGCGGGGGTTGGTAAACTTTTTCTGAAAAGGGCCAGATAGTATTTGAGGTTCTGCAGGCCCTCTCTCTGGTCTCTGACACGACTCAACTTGCCTGCCGCAGCGTGAAAACAGGCACAAACACCACACAAACAAGTGTGTTCCGGTTCCAGTGAAACTTTATTTACAAAGGCAGGGCGCCTGGCCAGGCGTGGTGGCTCATGCCTGTAATCCTAGCACTTTGGGAGGCCGAGGCAGAAGAATCACTTGAGCTCAGGAGTTCAAGACCAGCCTGGGCAACATAGTGAGATCCCATCTCTATTTTAAAAAAAAGCTGATGGCCAGATCCAGCCCTTGGGCCAATCAGTGCTGCAAGACCTTCTGTCACTCTCTGGCACTTTATGTCACCACCAGGCAGTCCCTTCACCTTCTCCCATAGCTATCCCAAGGACTTCCAGATGGTCCTCCTCATTCCCACCACCATTCTCCATTCAAAACGCACATGGCCAGCACTCACCTGCCTTCCTTCTTGATGTGGCAGACGTAGTGACCACACATGGTCGAGGTGCCCATGTGACTAATGAAGGCAAAGAGCTGATACTCTAGAGAAGGAGAGAGGGGTCAGAGAAGGAAACAGAAGAGGAATGCTTGAGTGATAGTCCAAAGATACAGACAACAGCTCAGACTCAGGACAAAAGTTTCAGGGAATGTGAGGCATGTACTGGGCCAGAGCCTGTCTCCATGTCAGAGAACCCCACCCTCAGATGCCATGTTGAGGTGGAGAGAAGCCCCTGACCCCTGAGGAGGGCAGAGCTGCCTGAATGAGGGATCTGGTGTAGCAGACTGACCAGATTCCACCAGGCCTGTCCTGCTTCCTGGGGACACTCACTTCCAGGACCATCCCGGACTTTAGGTCCCACTGGCACAGATTCAGAGATGGAGTCGGCAGCTGAGCGGCCCTCTGAGATGTCCATGGCAGCTTCAGCATCCAGGTCATCAATGTGACTGAAGATCCAGTCCACAGCCCGTTCTAAACTATTGTTCTTGGAGAGGAAGGAAGCATTACTTTTTTTTTTCATTTTTTGAGACAGTCTCGCTCTGTCGCCCAGACTGGAGTGCAGTGGAGCAATCTTGGCTCGGCTCACTGCAAGCTCTGCCTCCCAGGTTCACGCCATTCTCCTGCCTCAGCCTCCCAATTAGCTGGGACTACAGGTGCCCGCCACTACACCCAGCTAATTTTTTTTTTTTAAGATGGAGTTTCGCTCGTTGCCCAGGCTGGAGTATAATGGCGCGATCTTGGCTCACCACAACCTCCACTTCCCACGTTCAAGTGATTCGCCTGCCTCAGCCTTCCTGAGTAGCTGGGATTACAGGCATGCGCCACCATGCCCAGCTAATTTTCTGTATTTTTTAGTAGAGATGGAGTTTCTCCATGTTGGTCAGGCTGGTCCCGAACTCCCGACCTCAGGTGATCCACCTGCCTCGGCCTCCCAAAGTGCTGGGATTACAGGCGTGAGCCACCGTGCCCGGCCAGAGAGAAGCATTACTTTTTCTAACAAGTTCTGGGGCAAAAAAGCCAGCAGTAAATGCAGGCCTCAGCTCCTTCATCGCAGTCACAAAAGAGTGGTGCCCAGCCTTGGCCAGACCACACCTGTTGTCTTTGGTCTTGCTTAAGAAGGATGGCCCCTCACTGTCCCCCACTTCTTCCCCACTGGCCCCATGTCCTTAGCTGGGGCAGCCCATACCGTGGCCCGCAGCGCTTTCAGGGCCTGGTCCCGGGAGAAGCCCATGGAGACAATGGTGGTCACACAGTCCTCAGGAGGGGGGTCGGCTGCTGCACTTGTGGAGCCTGGCCCGCTAGACCCAGGCAGGATGAGGGGGTTCGCAAAATCTGTGGATGTGAAGGGGTTGATTTGTTTGGGGGAGGATGGAGGCCCTGCCCCACCCTGCTCCCCACCCCAGGCTACCTGGATCATCCATGTGTGACATGACCCAGTTCATGGCGGCCTCGGCCCCGCTGTTGCCCGTGTAGTAGACAGCTTTGCGGCAGGCGTCCATAGGGAAGCCCATCTCCACCAACTGGATGATGACGGATTCATCCAGCATGGGTGCTGCAATGGGAATTGTGGGTACAGGGACCGACTGACGGGGCCACTGTTTGCTCCTCCTCCCTCCCCCAGGCCAGGACCCAGCCCTCTTCCAATCACCCATTCCATGCATTTTTCTCCCATGGATTGGCACCTTTATCCCCAAACTAAAATGACCACACAACTGTAATGTGGGTCCCTGCCCATTCTCACAGAATGGGCTCTGTTTCTGGAGCATGATACCCCCACCCTACCCAAACCAGGGAGGTAGCAAGGGCAGAGAGATCATTAACTGGTACTGTTGCCATCCACACCCAGAAGGTGGCTGGGAGTGCTCTGGTGAGGCCCCATGTCAATCAAAGAGGGCAGAGGAAATTTGAAAGGGAGGACAGGAGAAACACAAAGGACAGGGGCAGGGGATGCAAGGCAGAGAGGCCCCCATCAGCACGGGAGAGACACAGGCAGGAAGAAGAGTCACTAACATGTCGGAGAGGAGAAGTGAGGGGAGCAGAAGGAGTCTTCGTCTTCGTTGCCATAGAAACCAAGGCTACCTTTGGGCTCATCCGGAGTGACCAGGGGTGGGGCAATGTCTGGCAGCTCCTCCTCTCCAGGCTGCAGCCCTGTGCCCCTCAACTGGGAGATGTCGAGCTCCTCTGGCATCTCGATGGACACATCTGTGGGAAAAGGGTCACCTCAGCAGCTCCCGGAGGCCTACCTGGAAAGTGATTCGGGAACCTCAATCCCCTGCCCCCCTATGTCAGAACTGCTCTGTCAAGAGGAGCTGCTAAAAGCATGGCACCCATCTTAGGGGTCCCAGTATAAGACAAATAATACTAAGCCTGGGAGTCAGGAGGCCAGGATGCTGGTCCTAGATCTGCCACACATAAGCTATGAACAGGGCAGGGGGCCTAGAACTTGTGAGACAGAATGATTTTATACTCCTGTGAGTCTCAATTTCCTTATCTAGAAAATGAAGGTATATCACGAGTTCTCAAATGACAGTCAGGGACCTGTAAGACTCACGAGAATTAATTGTTTCAAGATTAGCAAAATGAAAACATCTTACCAATTATTAAAAAAAACTACAAAAATCACTTTTGGTTGTAAATCATACCTATAACAATCAAAGAAGTCTTTTAACATTTTTAGTTAGTGCTTTCAAACTAGATACATTTTGAAACACTGGAGGTGATTTTTTTTTCCCCTTTCAGAGGAAACAGAAACACTAGTTTATATGTATTAAAGCCCCTTCTTTTTCTAGCATTTTCTGCATAACCTCCCTCATTCCAGCAGCCATACCCAGTTTCTTGGGCACCCAGTCTAAGCCGAAGGTGAACTTCTTGATCTGGATGACCAGGTAGTCAGGGAATGAGGCAAATCGTGTGGTCCTAGAGAAGAGAGAATGTGCTGGTACCCAGAGAATGCCCTGGGTTTTCCTCTCCTGAAACTCCCACCTGGGGTTCAGCCCCTCATGGATAGAAGTCCCAGTAACCCAGAAGATCCTCCATATTCTTCTCTTTCCCTGGGCAGGTGTCTAATGCCTGTCCTCAGCCAACAAAGAGCAGTAGAAGCCAGAAGGAAGGCTGTAAGCAAAAAAAAAAAAAAAAAAAGGCCTAGGTGTGGTGGCTTATACCTGCAATTCCAGCACTTTGGGAGGCCAAGGCAGGATGACTGCTTGAGCCCAGGAGTTAGAGACCAACCTGGGCAACATAGTGAGACCCCGTCTCTATTTAAAGAAAAAAAAAAAAGCCACACACAGAGGAAGAGCTGTTTCACTGGCAGGAGCAGCAAAAGGTTGAGTAGCTGACTCCCCAAGACCAAAGCCCTTTCTCAGGTCTCACGCCCGAACCAGGTGCCAATGGGTAGGCACAAAGTGGGGCTATTTGCTGGAAATCCAAATTCTGCCCACAGCTGATCCTAAGTGCCTGTGCTCCGCCATGACTGAGGGGGAGTGAAGAGAGGCTACGCTACAAAGAGACCCTGTGCCGCAGGAGAAGAGGGAGTGGTTGGGGCAGGACAAGGTGACAGATGCAGTCAGCACCTGTATCTCCCCCTACCAGGGTCCCTTGGTTCCATCAGGGCCAGATTACCAACCTAACTGATTCAACCCTGGGATTCCAACCACAAAGGGATGAAAGAACAGGGAAGAGGCAGAAATATCCTCTGGGATGGCTCTGCCATAGACCCACAGCCTCAGGCCCCAACCAGAGGACTTACTTGACAGCTACTGACTTGGCCTGCAGGGCCGTGCTCCAGAAGTCATCCACCTGCTCAGGGGCCCCGTAGGCCTCCAGGCAAGAGCTGAAGGGCACCTGGGCCCGAACCAGTTCTGGCAGTGGCATCTTCTCCTCTTCGGCTTGCCGCTTCTTCTCCTCATACTCCAGAAGCTCCTCTGGTGACAGAATGGGTTGGTGGATCCTTCAGAGTGTGCTGCTTCTTTCCCTTCTTAGCCTCTCCCTACTGGCTCTGTGTCCGTATTTCAGTTCCTCTACCCTTCCAAGGCACCCCGACACACGTCCAGTATGTCTCGCCTGTGTTTCCACGCAGCTCTGCTAACAAGCTGAGAGTCCACTGGGCGAGGTTAACCCTACCTACTCCTGGTGGCCCAGACTGGAACCTTGGTGGTGGAGCAGGGCATTCTATGGACTCTGCTCCCATCAGGTGCCCAAGCATTCCTCCTAGACCTCAGCCTCCCACCGTGCCAAGGCCTTGCTGATGGAGCCACCTACCTTTGTTAAGGGCTGCATCCATGGGCACAGGCAGCTGCATGATGTAGTCAACTCGCTGGGTGTACTTCACCTTCTCTGTGGCCAGGCACTTAATCTTCTCCTCCACCAAGAAGCGGAACACTTCGTTCGGATTTTCAGAGCTCCGGCAATTCCTCTATGGGAAAGAGGCAGGGTAGGGAGGTCTGGGCAGCCAGGGAACAGAATGGGGCCTGAAAGGTTCATGGGAGAGTCAGGGAGAGAAGGCAGACTACCACTCAGAACTCAGGGACACAAGAGCAGAGCAGAAACCTTCCCTAATTCACCAAACCCTCCCCATTTCTGGCCCCATCCCTGCACTGAGGGACTATGCTGGAACACGCCTGTATTTTTCTTTATGAGCGGTAAGTATTCTCATGTCATTGTCTTTGGGCGCAATCTGAATTGAGCTTCGAGCCCATCAAGGGTAAGGATCATCACCTTCACTATCCTCCTTAGGTACAAATACTGCTCACAGGGACATAGACCGTAGGGATTCAGGGATGGGACTGGGTTGGGGCTGACAGAGGGAGAAATGGGCAGGAAGGAGAGCGAGTAAACTGCAGGAAAATGAGGGTGTGCCATCTTCCCAGCCCTTACCTCCACCATGTTGATAAGGTGAAGGAAGAACTCCTGGGCATCCTGCTGCCGGTTGGTGGAGAATTCAGGGTGGCCCTTGCCGATGAGGGCCTTGAACATCCGAGGGGCAATGCCATCTTGAACTTCCTGGGAAGAGTCAGGGCAGGGACTCAGCTGGGGCTCAGTGGTCACCCAGGGGCCTTCTTTGGACATCTCCCAGACCTCAGCTTCCCCACAATCCCAGGGCCTGAAAGGGACAGAGTCCTAGACGCACCTTCTGTTCTGGCACCCGCTCCCCATCGCCCGACTCTGGTACTGGCTTGGAATACTCCCCGGAGAGAAGGCCATGGCCCAGCTTGGCCCTGCGTTAATATCCAAGAAAACATTTCACTTCAGTCAACTTAACGACCCTGTATGTCCCCAACTCAACCCCCTGCTCGTGGCTCTCCCTAGCTAACTCTTGACAATGTGAAAAACCTTAGATTCCACAGGAACCCAGCTCAAGACAGACAACACGCCCAGAGGACAGTCACCCGAATACTCCTAATAGGCCAGGGGTGGCCATGCATGGTGGCTCACGCCTGTAATCCCAGCAATTTGGGAGGCTGAGGTGGGCAGACCACGAGGTCAGGAGATTGAGACCATCCTGGCCAACATGATGAAACCCTGTCTCTATTAAAAATATTTTAAAAATTAGCTGGGCGTGGTGGCGGGCGCCTGTAGTCCCAGCTACTTGGGAGGCTGAGGCAGGAGAATCACTTGAACCCAGGAGGCAGAGGTTGTAGTGAGCTGAGATCACGCCACTGCACTCCAGACTGGCAACAAAGCAAGACTCCGTCTCAAAAAAAAAAAAAACAACAAAGGCCAGAGGTTAAAGTGCTGTGCCCCCCAGGCGGTCATGGAGGAGGAAGGTATACGGCCATGACTCTCAACAGCCTTCCTACATAGGACCTGGTTACATACACCTGGGTGCTGAAGTCCTGGGTAGGGTCCGTCGGGGCATTCTGGAAGATCTTCTCCAGCTTATCCACATACCTAAAAGTCAAGGAAAGGACGGTTGGAGGGGCTCTGGCCTGAGCTCTGAGGAAAAGGGAAGGGAGCAAACATTTACTAATTCTGTGAATGGGCTCCCGTCAAGAGTGGGGAGTCGCTTCTCTCCAGCGACCTGCCTGTTCTCCCCTTCTCAACTATGTCCAGTGTGCAAGCACGCTGGGCGGCATAGGAGCCAGGGAGGGGAGGCAGCCTTGGATTAGGACAAGTGCAGTTCATGTTCCATTAGACAGAACCTGTTGACATATTCTGAGCATTCACATTCTAATTGTTCCCCAAATTCAAAAGTAAACTCATTTCCGCTGAGAACCTGCCTTTCTTCTTAGTGTACCAAGCCGAATTCCTCCCCAAGTGCTACATGTCCATGTTAGGTGCTCACCTGAGGGCACTGGCCTAAAATAAAGACCATCTGCTAACCCTTGAGTCTGTCAGAAGGCCACAGAGCCCTGGGACCTGGCACTCTGCACTATCAGTGGGGTTTGTGTGTTGGGGTGCTGGTGGTGCAGCTCCCTAACTTGCTCCCCTTACAGCATGTCAGCCAGAGTGTGACAGGAATTATTCTGTTTTTTTTTTTTTTTTTAAAGAGAAGACAGGGTCTCGCTATGTTGCCCAGGCTGGTCTCAACCTCCTGGGTTCAAGCAATTCTCCCATCTTGGCCTCCCAAAGTACTGGGCCAACACACCTAGCCGATAGGAACTACTCTAAGATTAGAATCAAACACAGAGGTGCCGAGGGCAGCTGAAGGGAGTCTGCCCAGAGGGTGCTGACCAGGAGGGGCTGGGGAAGGAGCGCATTACTCACTTCCTCTGGAAGTCAGGGATGCTGAAGAGCACCTGGACCACGGAGTTGAGGTAGCAGCTGTTACCCAGGTTCTGGATGCCTGTGTAGCCAGGCCCAAATAGGGGCTTGAGAGGCACACCCGACTCCTGGATCAGCTCCCATTCACCAATCCGCTGGTTCATGTCTATCTCCAACTCAGTCATCGTCTTGTCTGTCTGTGTGAGAAGGGGCACTTCAGACTGAGTGAGAAACTCAACCCTGTAGTTTTTACCTTGATTTCTCACTGAATCTAGGATGACACCCGACTGTGGCCTAGAATTTGTGGAATTACAGGCTCAAACATGGGAAGCATGTTGAGTATCATCCGGTTCAAGTTCTGGAAGGTCATACATAATTGTCCCAGAGGCCCTTTAGTCTTCAGGGCCTCTGCTTGAATGAGGAATAAAAATTCCTTTTACCTGAAATGTTTTTCCCATCCTTAAGTTACCCCTAACCTCCTTCACATTGTCACTTAAGCATCGTTTCCTCAGGGAAATGTCCCTGATCCCTAAACTAGGCCAGGTCACCCTGCTGTTAATTACTGTAGTACCCTCCGTCTCTCTTTCATAGTACCCACCACAGTTTGCAACTGTTGGCTTATTTATCTGGGAATGTGACTAATGTCTGCCTTTCCTTCTAGAGTAGAATTCTTGTAAGCAAAAACCACATACGTCTTATTCACACAGCATCTAGCACATAGTAGGTACTCAGTACTATTCACTGCATACATGATTTGAGATATTTAAAAGCAGCCTGTGTATCTTGGTGATGGGGTTAACTAGAAGATTTCTCCGAAACCCTACTTCAGCCTTGGGCGAAGAGGAAGGGCCCTCACAGGGGCAGGAAGTAGAATCTGAAGCTGAAGGGGTCTCACCTTCTGCATCTTCAGCATGTCGATGCCAAAGTGGGACAGGTGCTCAGCCAGGCTGGGGTCCAGGACCATGTCATCCTCATCATATGAGTACACGTCTAGAGCAGGAGGCAGGAAGAGAATCATGGGAAGTGGCTCAGGACTAGCCTGGCCACCATCCCATCCCTTGCCCAGAAGGGACTTGAGGGGACAAAAGGACAGCCAGTAAGGTCCACCCTCTTGGTTCCCTTGAATGTGAGTGAGGTCATGGCCCTTCTGGGACTGACTGTCAGGGAAGACAGATGAAACAGGGTGAGGGTGGGAATTAACTGTGATTCTGATTCTACCCATGAGGTAAGACAGGCTTGATAGGAAAGGGATGAGGATTTGAGTGGGGAGTAATCAAAAATTTAGTATCATCTGCAGTATTTTCCTTTTTTGAGACAGGGTCTCTGTAGCCCAGGCTGGAGTCCAGTGGTGCAGTCATAGCTCACTGCAGCCTCAACCTCCTGGGTGCTCAAGCAATCCTCCTGCCTCAGCCTCCTGGGTAGCTGAGAGTACAGGCAGGAGCTACCACACCCAGCCAATTTTTCTTTTTTTGTGTGTGTAGAGATGAGGTCTCACTATGTTGCCCAGGCTGGTCTCGAACTCTTGGGTTCAAGTGATCCTCCTGCCTTGGCCTCCCAAAGTGTTGGGATTGCAAACATGAGCCACTGCACCTATTTTCCTTTCTTATCAAGATAATGCATTCATGTATTATACATGTCACACGAAATAACTAACAAATGAAATACATTTAAGCATGAGAGTGGCTGGAGGAGGGGAGGCTGTACCAGCTCCATCAGGGGTGATGGTGCCCAGCTTGACAGCTAATGGGTAGCCCGTCTCCCGGTAGTGCTCCACAGCGTGGTTGTTGCCTCCACTGCCGTCGAAGTAGCGTCGCCCACAGAGGATGGAGCCATCCGTCAGGTTGAGCCACAGGTTCTCTCTCATGTCACACTTAGAGCACTTCCAGCCACTAACCCAGGGAGAAGAGAATCAGCGGAAATGTGCGTCGGGGATTTGTGGGAGTGGCAGAGAGAGGGGGCTCTGCAGGCTCCCTGCCAATCCAAGGTCTCTCTCTCCTCTCCTCTGGCCATCCCCATGTCTTGTTCATTTCCAAGTTTCCCTTCCTGTCCTGCTTCCTACCCTCTCTCCCACCAGATCCCCCAGAAAAGTGGTCTCCATGTCCTTGCTCTGGGGGTGATGCCCGAGGCAGAGGGGCCAGGCCTCACCAGGGAGGGATTCGAGCAGGGTTGTCCAACTGCTTGAGGCTGAAGGCATGCTTAGACACCTGCCGTACTTCCCCATCCCATGCCTGCACCTCCTGCTTGCGGGAGGCTGAGTCAGCTGACAGTAGGGCCTCCACTGCACTGGTCACCTGGGGGAAGCAGAGGGTCAGAGGCAGTACCCAACCCCCTGCCCCACATGCGCCTCTTCCCCTTGGCCTTCAGCTTTGTCAGTGTTTGCCTCAGACATCACTACCCTGGCCCATCTTGCTCTAGAATCTTGGGGAGCGTGGGAGGGAGTCATACCCGATCTCTGACAATGTCAGGCAGTCCCCCCAGTCCATCCCGGGCAATCTCCAGGTAATCTGGCAAAATGACAATCTTCACATCCTCGTCTAATTCAAACTTCTCCTCGCTAAGGTCAAACCCGCCTTCAACACCTGGAAGGACAGGGAAAAAGAGGGAGAGTAGAGCAATGACAACAGGTCAGTGTCCCTCCTCCGATCCAGCAGCTCACTTGCCCCACCCAGAGTTCTAGGGCCATCAATCAGGCCCACTCTTTGGGGCTTTCCTGGTGCTGCTGAGAGCCAGAAAGACCAGCTCAGGCAGAAGAATAGAAGTGCAGTGGTGCTCACCAATAGCCAGCCGCGTGGGCTTCTTCCGGGGTGGGTCTCCAGTGCCTGTAGTAGGGTCCTCCTCTTTCTGCAAAGAAGCAGGAAGGGCTGGATCAGCAATGAGCATGAGCGAAGGAACAAGTGGGGAGGAGGGACGGGAGGAGGTAGTGGTTCATCTCAGAATAAAGCTAAAAAACATCTGTGCCAAGCTTTAATGACACAAAAGTAGGTGAAAAAAAGAAACTGAGTCCAATAGTAGGTCAGAATGGAACAGATAGAATGGAACAGAATGTACCCAGGCCTTGCCCCAGCCCTGTCCCTACCAGACGCCGGGTCCGCCGGAGGTGCAGGTAGACTCGCTGGCCGGTCTTATTGAAATGTCTCTCCACATACTGTTTCCCGAAGCCCAGAAATGTGTTCATACAGATGTAGAGGCCCCCCTCAGACTCCTGCAGGACGAGAGGTAAAGGTGAAAACACGAGGAGGTTATGAGCCTGGTCAGGAGAGGAGACCAAAACCCGGAGTCAGAACCGCTGGCTCCAGAGAAATGCTCTGTCCGCTAACACTGTGGGGCCCCTGCAAGCTACTTAGCCTTTTAGGACCTGGGACATAGCTAAGATTCTCCCCATTTCCTCCCATGACTTTGATAACAACCAACAAGGGCATCAGGGGGCTGAGGAACACAAGCTCATCTTCGCCATTCAACCCCAGCCTCCATGTATCTTTCCACCTGCTCCTTCTTGGGCTTTGGAGCTGTTCAATCAATCACAGAGGACTTCCTTCACCTCCTTCCTGGGGCTAACAGATCCGGAAAGTCAATGGCGATCAAATATTGTGGCCTTCCGGTGCTGGAGATGACATTCAAGGGGAAAAGGGTCCCTCCGTGGGAGAGGAAGGACTTTCATGTCAGACACTGAACCCAAACCAGGGACACCTAAGACAAACACTATCTGATCTCCATGATTCAGAAACCCTTCCAGACCGGAGGAGCCGAGATTCCAGCACCTGAACAGTATATCTGATCCGAGTGTGCCAGCAAGCAAAACTACCTTTCCTTTAAAAAAACAAAAAAATTTATTTTAGAGACGAGGTCTTACTCTGTCACCCAGGCTGGAGTGCAGTGGCACGATCATAGGTCACTGCAGCCTCAACCTCCCAGGCTCAAGTGATCCTTCTGCTTCAGTCTCCAAAGGAGCTGTGACTACAGGCACATATCACCATGCCTAGATTTTTTTCTTTTTTAGAGATGGAGTCTCACTATGTTGCTTAGGCTGGTCTTTAACTTGTGGCCTTGAACAATCCTTCCACCTTGGCTTCCCAGAGTGCTGGGATTACAACGGTGAGACTAAACATCCAGCCAAAAACACCTTTCCTTTACCACACTCTACCAGGTAGTCAAACCCTGGTCCACACTGTGAGTCTTCTCCCTCCTCTCCTGCTGAAGTGTGGCTCCAGGGAAACAATGACTTGTTAGGGACTCACAGCTAAACCTGCACCCCGTCTGGCAGGGTCATCAAGTCCAGCATTCTATAGCGACCACCCTCTCTCCTCTGCCTCCCCTCTGACCAAGCAGATCTCTGCTGAAGTCCCAACAATCACCAATCTCAAAGCCATCCCCTTCTGCCAACAATCTCGCAACAGTTGCTGAGATAGCTAGAACGCACATAACCATGAAAACAGGGACAAATGGGTGTCCACCCAGAAACACAGCTGAGAAGGGGATGGGCTTCCCCCAAAGCTGACCAAGTTCTCCACTGCCTTTGTAAAGAGTGATGGAGAAGGTGGAGGAGGGAATTGGAGAAAATAAGGGTCTTCCCTCAGATCCAAGGCTTTGAGCAACAACAGGCATCCTCTTCCAGGAATAAAACTCTCAGTGGCCTTGAACATTTCTCTGCTGTGATATGAAAAATAGTGCACTAAGGTAGTTCTCAGGCCCATAGATTGCTCTGTACCACCTCCTAGAACAATGTGTACTGCAAGTTCATGAACAAATAGAGCATTTCTCACCAGGGAGGTCAACTAAGCTCTTTCTACCATGAACCCAATCTGAAGGTAACCAAATATGCTGGAAGTTGGTTAGCAAAGAACTAGGGCACATTGAAAATCTCTTGACTTGGGGTGAAAGAGGCAAAGTGTCAGAAGATTACAAAAACCCTTTTTGGATTATTCAAAGCTGTTACTAAGGAGAGAGACAGGAGTGAATGTAAGTGTAAAGAGGGGCCCACTGACTTCTACCATCTGCTGGTAATTTAAAAAAACATTTCCCTCCTGGGAAGAATGTGGGAGCTCTGAAGTGATTAAACTCCTCTGTTGGAAATTAAAGATGCTGATTTCACCAAGGATTGGGAACCCTGGAGCTCTGCTCTGCGCAGTCCTCTTTTACCTCTGCCAAAGCCAGACTTCAGAGAAGCAGCACATTGTCTGAGGCCCAGATCAAAGCCTAGTAAACCAAGCAAACCACAAATCACCGTGATGATCCTGAACTGGGCCTCACATCATGCCATTCTACTCAGTACTGGTGATGCAGTAATGAAGGCTTTCCACTCTGACTTGCAGTTTTCAGGCCATGAGCTGGTCTGGCAGAATACCCTGGGCAGGGCCCAGCAGCTTGAGGGGAGGGGTGGTGAGGGGGGCGGATCCCAACCAAGCTGCTGCCTTCTCAGTTCAGGCCCCAAAGGGCCTCCGCTTGAGGGTGACACAGGAAGGCAGAACTGCAGGAAGGGAGGTACCAGGTGGAGCCTGCAAAACGTGAAGCATGGTGTGGGAGGTGGCTTTGTGTAACTAGCCAAGAGTGGGAGCGGGATGGGAAAGAGGCCTTAGCATCCTCCAAGAAAGAAACCACCACTCTAGGAATACTTTAAAAGGGGTTATCTCAGCTGTCTGTGATAGGCTGGGGGGCGGGGGAAGGGTGGGGGTTGCGGCCATTGCTCACTTCAAAGGAGAAACGACTAGAGCTTTCCTCTCCTCTTTCCTCCCCTCCCCGCCCCCTGTCCGTTTTAACCACAGGGTGAAGGCTCTCTAGCTCTTCCTTTCTCAGAACCGGACTTCTTGAGAGCCCATTCCCCAACTATTAACCGCCTAGGAACTGCGGACCCCACCCCACAACTCCAACCCCGGCCGAGAACAGTGGGGAGTCGTCCCCATCACTCCCACACGAGACTACAAAACCCGGAGAGCCGTGCGCGGCAGACAAGGCCGACTGCCAGGTTTTCTCAAGGGTCCACTTGGGGGATGTAGTCCGACGGTCTGACTGCACCCCTAGCTTAGAACGGCAACGAGGGCAGTGAGCGACTACAATGCCCACAGTGCTCCACGAGGCGGGGAGCTGACGAGGTGAGCGCGGCGGCTTCCGGGGGCAGTAGTCACAAGACAGCCGCAGTTAATGAAAGGCAACGGCACAGTGGAGCGTGGGAGACTACAAGTCCCATGGTGCATCGCAGGGAGGCGGTAGCCCAAGCCTTGCAGGCCCCGGCGGAATGACCAGGGCGATGGAAGGCAGTCGTGCTCGTTGCGGGCGTGGGGAATGGGCTTACCGGCGTGTCGAAGGAGAAGGCGCACTCGTCTTTGTGGACCCGGTCTCCAGCCTTAGGGACCCGGATCGTCGGTAATACTGACAGCAGCGCCTCCTCACTCAGCTCCGCCATGACACCGGCAGCGGCTTCTCCACACACCGCCGCTCCCACCGTTCCTAGTCTCCTCCCCTGTCCCTCCCGTCCAATGAGCGCCACTCGTTAGGGGCATGCGCCGCGGGGACGACGCGCGAGAATGGCAGTTGGACACAGCCTGCCTGCCGGTGCTCCGCCCCTGCCCCGCGCTTGACCGACGCCAGTGAGAAGCGCTCCTAAGGCAATTGATGGTTGAAAGAACCAATCCCACTCCTCCAGGGCGGGAGCGCACGTAGAGCAGCTGGGTGGGCTCCGAAGTTGCGGCTCCTCCGGCTCCGGGACCTTTAGGGTCGCTTCGCGTGCCTTCTATTGAAGAGCAGGAACTGACGGTTGTTTTAAGTCTCTCACTTCCAGAAAGTTTCCTGGGGACCTGTCCCGTCGGAAATTCGAGGGGCAGTTGTCTTGGTATTTGAAAAGGGGGTATCCAGTGAGGCGGAGCTTGAGGGGGTGGTGTCGAGTGATTGATAAAGCTGTCAACCAATAAGGCTACTATCGCTCGCCTCAGGAAAACCACGACTCCAGCTGGATGTGCGCATAATAGTGTAATCACTCATAATTCTATTTTGTTTAATAAAATAATTCGTTCTTGTGACTAGACGTCTCGAAAGCGAAGACTGGCACTCCTCAGTCTACCACGGACTGCTCGCAGGCCGATACTGAACAGAAGTACCCTTATCAAGGAGGCGTCACCGCTGGGCAAGCCTAGCATCAGTCCATTGACCCCCCACAGTCACCATGATAGACGTTCTCCCAGACCAACAGCTTCCTTTGGCTCGAGGCGGGTCTTACGTGGAGGGCCTATGGATCTACGTCGGCTCAGCCAATAGGGTCAGGGCAGGGGGCGTGGCGGGAAGTTTGAAACTGGTAACTTCGGGAGTTGAGCCACGAGCTGTTGTGTACCCAGAGGTGGAATTGGAGCCCGGTAAGTGATTTGAATAATTTAATAAACAAGTTAGCGGGCTCGGCAGGCCCAGAATGAGCCATTTTGTCAACTGCAGCGGTCATTAACTCCGCAGAGGCCTCTGGTCCCCCGCCAGGAAGTTTCTTCACTGGAAACTGGGAAGATAGGGTGGTTTAGGGTTGAGGGTCCGACGTGGAAGGGATAAGGGCTGAGACCTCAGTCACTTCTCACAGGCATTCCTTCCTCTTCCCGGGCTGGCTCTTGCCCCTACCCTGCAACTCCTGGTTGAGATGGGCTCAGCCAAGAGCGTCCCAGTTACACCAGCGCGGCCTCCGCCGCACAACAAGCATCTGGCTCGAGTGGCGGACCCCCGTTCACCTAGTGCTGGCATCCTGCGCACTCCCATCCAGGTACTCTGGGCCAGAGTGGGAAAGGCAGAGAATGTCTGAATTCTTGGGCCTCTTCCTAACCTGATTTTGAGAGAGCCCTCATGTCCCCACCCTTATCCTGGCCTTATTTTCTGCATTCTCAATCTGTGTGGGGTAGACTGGATATCTGAGGGCCTTGGCAATTCCTTCCTGAAATATGGGGAGGAGAGGAGAGAAGAGTCAGGGCCCAGACTTGTTCTAGCCTATGGTCTTGACAGGTGGAGAGCTCTCCACAGCCAGGCCTACCAGCAGGGGAGCAACTGGAGGGTCTTAAACATGCCCAGGACTCAGATCCCCGCTCTCCTACTCTTGGTATTGCTCGGACACCTATGAAGACCAGCAGTGGAGGTAAGTGTTGGGCCCAGGGAATGCTGATGAAACTGTCATCTATTATTCTTGGGTAGGGTCCATGAAGCTATTCTCTCAGGGATCTTTAAAGGGTCCTCCATCCTCCTGCTTCAGACCCATCTCACTCTTATCTCAATGTTTTGTTCCCAGCCTGGGTGCCGTGGCTTATGCCTGTAATCCCAGCACTTTGGAAGGCCAGGGTGGTCAGATTGCTTGAGCCCAGGAGTTCAAGACCAGCCAAGGCAACATGGCAAAACCCCATCTCTACAAAAAATGCACACACACACACACACACACACACACACACACACAAGCACGGTGGCATGGGCCTGTGATCCCAGCTACTCAGGAGGCTGAGGTGGGAGGATTTCTTGAGCCCACGAGGTCAAGGCTGCAGTGAACTGTGATCATGCCACTGCACTCCAGCCTGGGGGACAGAGCAAGCCCCATCTCAAAAAAAAAAAGAAAAGAAAAATTGCTGTCTTTCACCTTGATTTCCTTGATTTCTCTCTTCCCACTTGCTCACCCACCTGGGCATGAGTCCTAAGGTTCCTGTATCTTTTGCTCCTTGCTGAATGTTGTGTATCAGAAGGTCACTGTTCACTTCACTTTCTTCCTCTAGACGCTCCAAGCCCACTGGTGAAACAGCTGAGTGAAGTATTTGAAACTGAAGACTCTAAATCAAATCTTCCCCCAGAGCCTGTTCTGCCCCCGGAGGCACCTTTATCTTCTGAATTGGACTTGCCTCTGGGTACCCAGTTATCTGCTGAGGAACAGGTGCCACCTTGGAACCAGACTGAGTTCCCCTCCAAACAGGTGTTTTCCAAGGAGGAAGCCAGACAGCCCACAGAAACCCCTGTGGCCAGCCAGAGCTCCGACAAGCCCTCAAGGGACCCTGAGACTCCCAGATCTTCAGGTACAGAATCTAAAGGCAAGATGTAGGGAAGATAAGCTAGGATAATGTTTTGGGATAAGGTCCATGGGTGAGTGTGGGAGGAATAAACTGTGAGTCCTAGTTTTAGGTCCTTGCGTTAACTCCTTACCCACCCCAGGTTCTATGCGCAATAGATGGAAACCAAACAGCAGCAAGGTACTAGGGAGATCCCCCCTCACCATCCTGCAGGATGACAACTCCCCTGGCACCCTGACACTACGACAGGTAAAGGAAGAGAAGGTGAAAGCTGTTACTAGGATATCCAGCGTAGAGGGTGGGAGACCCTTTTACCCAGATCTTCCCTCTCCTGAACAGCAACCCCCCAACTCATATACTGCCGTTTTCAGGGTAAGCGGCCTTCACCCCTAAGTGAAAATGTTAGTGAACTAAAGGAAGGAGCCATTCTTGGAACTGGACGACCTCTGAAAACTGGAGGACGAACATGGGAACAAGGCCAGGACCATGACAAGGAAAATCAGCACTTTCCCTTGGTGGAGAGCTAGGCCTTGCATGGCCCCAGCAATGCAATCACCCAGGGCCTGGTGGTATCTGTGTCCTCTCACCCCTTCTTTCCCAGGGATACTGAGGAAAGGCTTGTTTTCTTAGACTCCTCCTCAACTACCCAACTGGGACTCAGAGCTTTATTGGGCTTTCTTTGTGTCTTGTGTGTTTCTTTTATATTAAAGGAAGTGATTTTAAATGTTACTTTAAAAAGGTGTACGTAAACCTTGCACCGAGTTTTCTGTGTGTAGAATGGCAGCCTAGAGACCTTGTGTTCCCTGGCCTGAGCCCACTGATGCTCTGAGCTTCCTTTGCACATCTCCCTTAAACCATGGTGTCCCCATGGCTCTGTCCTTGGCCCTTTCCTCCTGCTCTCCCTAGGTGTTTACTTCTAGGGCTTTAGCTATCACTTCCCTATATTCTGGTAACTTCCAGGTCTCTCTCTCTAACCCTGACCTTTATCCAGCTGCCCTATAAGTACTTCAAAGTCAGTTTGTCTAAAACTGAATTCATGATCTTCCCCCAAAAGCTATTCCTCATTCCCTCTTCCCTATCCTATGAATGACAGCATTATCTACCCAGCCACCAAACTCAAACCTTGGCCATTATCTCAAATCCTTCCCTCCCAATATCCTATATCCTAGCATTTGGTCACTAAATCCTGGTGATTCCACATTTTGTTTGTTTGCTTGTTTTCTTAGAGGCAGGGTCTTGCTCTGTCACCCAGGCTGGAGTGCAGTGGCGCAATCACAGCTCACTGCAGCCTCAACCTTCTGAGCTCAAGTGATCCTCCTGTCTCAGTCTCTCGAGTAGCTGGGATTACAGGCATGAGCCACCAGGCCTGGCTAATTTTTGTATTTTTTTAATAGAGATGAGGTCTTGCCATATTGCCCAGGCTGGTTTCAAGCTCCTAGGCTCAAGTGATCTGCCTGCCTCAGCCTCCTGAAGTGCTGGGATGACAGGCATGAGCCACCATGCCCAGCCTGCCCAGGTAATTTTTAATTTTTTCTGTAGATACAGGGTCACACTATGGTGCTCAGGCTGGTCTCAAATTCCAGGCCTCAGGAGATCTTCCTGCCAGCCTTCCAAGGCTCTGGGATTACAGGCATGAGCCACTGTTCCAGCTGATTCCACGTCTTTAATCTCTTCCTAATCCCTCTCCCTAACCCCTCTGTCCTGTCGCTCTTGCATTTCTTGCCACCTGCCTCCTATCTTGTTTCCCTAGTGCCAGTCTTTCCTCCCTCCCTTTCATCAGCCTACACTGCTTCTTTCCGAAAGATCTGGAGCAATCTTTCTGAGAAGCATAACTAACCGTGTTACTACTCTGCTCAGAACTCCTTAATGGCTTCCCATTGCCCTTAGGAAAACATCTGGACTCTCTGGCTTGGCATTCAAGACCTTTTATAATCTGATTCCTTCTCAATCTAACCCTCCTGTACAAATACATGGGCACCACAGGCAGGCCGTAGCAAACTGCTGCACACACAGTCCCCCAGCCACCTGCTGAATACCTTCTCCCCCTGACCCATCTCAGGCCTCCTCCCATGAGCCCACAAGCTGTCCAGTACCTAGCCTTTATCACAGCACCTGTAACACATTACTGCCCTTAAATGGGACCTGGGTCTTTTTGGAACAGAAGGGAGTGGAAGGCAAACATCACAGAGGTACCAGGGTGCTACACTTTATTGCAGTTGTCTTAGGAGAGAAAAAAAGGTAGAAAAAGGAGAAAGCATAAATAAGAAGAGGACCAGGACTCTAGTGGTGCCAGAGCCCTAGTCACAGGGCTAAACGCCTATACCACCCAGGTCTGGACAAAGGTCGTGGCTCCGGGGGAGGAATCCTAGGGCCTGGGGCCTCAGACTGAAGTCTGCTGGGCCTGCAAAGGGCTGGGGAGGGGCTGGTTGTCCTTGCTCATTAAGGGAGAGGCTGTGAGGACTGTGGGGAGGGAAGGCCATGGGAGGAGATGGGGCAGTTCTTTGCCCCTGTGTCCCTGATGCTTCCTCCCAAAGGCAGAGTCCCCATGCTCCCCACTGCCCTCAAAGGAGAAAGCTTAGTGGGAATGGCACCTGGAATATAGAAGAGAACACCTGAATGAGATGGGGTCGGGGAGGGGCCGCTGAGCGTCTTCACTGCCTTCCGCTTCCCTTTCTCTAGCCTCCTCAGTTCCAGATTTTGAGGAAGCTGTCCCAGGAACCTGTGGCCACAGCCATCCCATCAGCTGTGACTCCCAGGCAGCTGACCCTGTTGTCGTGGCCAGAGAGGATGCCTGAGCAAGAGGGAAAGGAGTCAGCCTGTCTCCAAGCTGATTTGGAAAGCAGTGTGTGCATGTGTGCAAGTGTGTGCATGCGTGCATGTGTGTGCACGTGTGGGTGTGTGTACGTGTGTTTGTGCATGCGTGCCTGAGCACATGCATGCAGGGATCCTAGACTGGGTAGGCTAGGCTCAACCCCTGAAGAAGGCTGAGAGACTGAAAGAGGATTAGCCGTAGGGCAGGGGGTTCTCTCTCAAGAGCTTTGGTTGGGGGAGGGCTGGGATCAGACAGAGAAAAGCTGGAAGCATCTGTGTACTCTGAAAAAAACCGAGGGCACCTTGACAGGTGCTGGAAAGCAGAAGGCAACCGTTCATCTGATTTCTTTGTTTCCAGATGAAGAAACTGAGGCCCACGGAGGAGTGACTTGTGCAAGGTCACTCAGAGTGAGCAACAGAATTAGGATTTGGATTCTGCTCCTGGCAAGTGTTACTTTCATCAGCACCTGGCCTCTTGATAGAGAAGAAGCCATCCTGTCTGACCAACTTCAGGCTAGTCTTAGATGAGCCCTAGGCAGGAGTCAGGGCCCTCGGGCCACTCCAGATCTTGATTCTGCCTTGATTCCATATTTCCCTGAGGCTGTCTTGCCTCTCAGTGGGTGCCCCTGAAATGCCAGGAACCCAGAACTGACTGGACAGTCATGGTCCACAGATCTAGAGCAGGGAGCAGCCCTGGCATTGGGCAGTGGAGAGAGGTTGCTTAGAGCAACTGAGGGAAGACAGTCCTAGCTGGGAGCCAAGGGGTACTGGATTCCAGGAGTGGAGTCACCCAGGACAGCAGTAAGAGAGTCCAAAATGGGAGCTGATGGGGGGTACAGAATGAGGAGGGAGGGCTGGAGAGGGGCCTTCCAGCTGAGGAAGCCGCAGCCAGGGCTGGCCCTTACCCACACGCTCGGACTTCATGGAGTCCCAGACATTGCAGTTGAAGTCGTCGTAGCCAGCGAACAGCAGGCGGCCACTGAGGGAGAAGGCCACGGACGTGATGCCGCAGATGATGCTCTCATGGGAGAAGCAGATCAGCTCCTGGTCTGCCCGCAGGTCAAACAAGCGGCAGGAAGCATCATCCGAGCCCGTACAGATGGCCTCTCCATTGGGGAAGAACTGAGGGCATAGGTGGCAAGTGGGTCAGGGATCAGACCTGGGCAGCCCACAGCCTCTCCCGCCCTCTGGCTCCCACCTGACAGCTCCAGGGCAAGCCGCTGCTCTCAGCCTCTCTGCCTGTCCCTTCCTTGGTTTTGGATGAGAAGCAGCCCTGCCAACACGTACCATGTGCCAGTGACTTCCCTATGCCCCTCGCCCGCTCTGCACTATACTGCGCTGCAGGCAGGCATCATTTCCATGTCGCAGGCAAGAGCACCAAGGCTTGCCTGCAGTGACCTGGCTAGAAGGGCAGACGGAGGTTGTCCCAAACTCAGACTACACAAGTGGGCTGGATCAGGGTGTGCAAGAACAGGGTCAAGTACAAATGCAAGGCCTGAATCTCATTGCGAGGAAATGTCCGATAAACTCAAACGGAGGGAGAGTCTATAGAAAACTGGTTTGTACTCTTCAAAAATGTCAATGACATAAAAGACAATTAAAGGTGGGAAAACAGTTCCAGTTTAAAGGTGGTGACGAAAAAGATATGGCAAGGAAATGTCATGCATGTTTCCAGATTGGATCCTGGACAGAAAAAAACCATAGCTATTATGGACATTTTTGAGGCAGTTGGTGAAATTTGAATATAGACTGTAGACTATAGTATTGTGTCAATGTTAAATTTTCTGATTTTTTTTTTTTTTTTTTTTTTTTTTTTGAGACGGAGTCTCACTCTGTCACCCAGGCTGGAGTGCAGTGGCCAGATCTCAGCTCACTGCAAGCTCCGCCTCCCGAGTTCACGCCATTCTCCTGCCTCAGCCTCCTGTGTAGCTGGGACTACAGGCGCCCGCCACCTCGCCCAGCTAGTTTTTTGTATTTTTTAGTAGAGACGGGGTTTCACCAGGTTAGCCAGGATGGTCTCGATCTCCTGACCTCGTGATCCGCCCGTCTCGGCCTCCCAAAGTGCTGGGATTACAGGCTTGAGCCACCGCGCCCGGCCAAATTTTCTGATTTTAAGAATCATACTGTGATTATGTTACAGAACAGCTTTGTTTTAGGAAGTACTTAAGGGGTAAGGAAACATGATGTCTGCAAACTACTTTTAAAAGACAGAAAGAAAATGTGTATCTACATCTAAGTGTGTGTGTGTGTGTGTGTGTATCTATGGCTATTTCTCTACAGAGAGAAAATGATAAAGCAAACGTGACAAAATGGACTGGGCGTGGTGGCTCATGCCTGTAATCCCAATATTTTGGGAGACTGAGGCAGGAGGATCGCTTGAGCTCAGAAGTTCCAGCTCAGCCTGGGCAACAGTGGGAACCCATCTCTACAAAAAAATCAAAACATTAGCCAAGCGTGGTCGCACGCACCTGTAGTCCCAGCTACTCACGAGGCTGTGGTGGGAGGATTGCTTGAACCTTGGAGGGTGAGGCTGCAGTGAGCCATGATCGCACCACTGCATCCAGACTGGGCAACAGTGTGAGACTCTGTCCCCAAAAAAAGAAAGAAAGAAAGGGCTAGGGAAAGCTGGGCACGGTGGCTCACACCTGTAATCCCAGCACTGCACTCTGGGAAGCTGAGGTGGGAAGATCGCCTCAGGTCAAGAGTTCAAGACCAGCCTGCCAACATGGCAAAACCCCATCTCTACTAAAAATACAAAAATTAGCCAGGCATGGTGAAGCACACGTATAATCCCAGCTACTCAGGAGGCTGAGGCAGCAGAATGGCTCCAATCCAGGAGGCAGAGGTTGCAGTGAGTCGAGATTGCGCCACTGCACTCCATCCTGGGCGACAGAGTGAGACTCTGTCTCAAAAAAAAAAAAAAGAAAGGGCTAGGGAAGCTACGGGAGGGGCAGAGGATGTGTATTGTATGTGTTGTGGGGAGTGCGGCGGAAGGAGTTGGAGTCAAGCGGGGGCGGGGGGTGCACTCACACAGATGGCGTTGATGTCCGACTCGTGGCCAGTGAAAGTCTGACGGCAGGTCCCCTCTCGCACATCCCAGAGCTTGGCGCTGGCATCACAGGCCCCCGAAATGAAGAGATTGAAGTCAGGAGACACAGCCAGGCTCATGCAGTCACCCGTGTGTCCCACAAATACAGTCTTCTGCTGCCCAGTCTCAATGTCCCACAAGGCACTGCCAAAAGGGAGGGAGACTGTTAGGGAAAGGCCAGGCCAGGCCACTCCCAAGCCCCAGCACCAACAACGTTCAGCCTCACCACGTGGTGTCCCCCGAGCTGGTCACAATATTGTTGTCATCCAGGAAGCGGCAGCAGGAGAGATAACCTGGAGGTGGTTAGAAGGACAGTGCCCTGGCTGCACAGCCACAGCCCACTGGAAACCCAGGATTCCCTGAACCCCTCAGGAGGGGAGGGGAGGGTCTCTCCCTCACCTGTGTGAGCAGAAAGCTCCCGGCTGACCTTGACATTGCCCTCACGGGATTTGAGGTTGTAGATAGAACACATGTTGTCCAGCCCCCCACATGCCACAAAGTTCCCTGATGGGGCATAGGCACAGGTCATCACCCAGGAGGAGCGCAGTGGGATGGCATGCACCTGCAGGGAGGGTGGTTTGAGCAGAGATGGCACCAGAGCCAAGCTCCCCGCTGGGCAGAGGAGGGTAGGCCTAGCGCCCCAGCAAGGATGCGGCAGTGGAGGCTCGGGGAGGCAGGGCTGGTACCTTGTTGGTGGTGTAGCTGTCCCACACGATCAGCTTCCCATCTTGCGAGGCACTTACCAGCAGCCTGGGGAGAGGGCATCCCATATTACACAAGCCTCTCCTTCCCGCCTTCCTCACTCCCGCTCTCGCCCTCCCATTCTCGGTTCCCCCCAAAGCCTCACTTGGAGTCAGTGGCCCAGTGCATGGCATAGATCTTGGCCAGGTGCCCCCTTAATGTCCGCCGCGTCCGCATCTGGACTCGTCCCACCACCTCTAGGCCAGACACCAGCTGCAGAGAGAGGGGCATTGAATATCGGGGTGAGCAGGTTACATGCCCGGATGTCTGTCACTGATCTATACGAGTTCCTGCTCTGTGCCAGGCTCCAGGTCAGGCCCCCAGCCTTAGAGAAATAAGCCTCTGTCCTAGAGTGTCTTAGACTGATGTGGGAAAGAGATGCATGCATGGCCAGGGGTGTGCTGCTAAGTGTTTAACAAGCACCTCTCCAGTGTTAGTGAGGAAGGTGGGAAGGTGATTTTCATGATATGAATACTTGCATGTTGACCAATTTCAAGCTGCCAATGTGAGGTCATTGGAAACAGATTTGGGAAGAGATGCACACGGTTGGCTCTTCCAAGCTGAGAGGAGCCTGCTGTCACCCACCCCTGCAGCAGGGCTAGCTTTTTCACTGGGTGCCTAGGGCATCACTATTACCCTGAACTGCACCTCCGGAAATTTGTGGTACTATGCCCCTTGAGCTCTAACCAGATTTTAGACTTAGGCTGGGGGTCCACAGTGAACAGACTTGATTTGCCATCACTTGCTTTGCTATCTTTTTTTAGAAAAATTAAAAACAATTTTTTTATATTAAGATGAGATCTCACTATGTTGCCCAGGCTGGTCTCAGACTCCTGAGCATAAGCGATCCTTCCACGTCAGTCTCCCAAAGTGCTGGGATTACAGGCGTGAACCACTACGCCCAGCCTGCTTTGTTATCTTGGGCAAGTTACTTCACCTCCCTGAGTCTGTTTACTCAAGGTGTAAAATGAGGCTTATCATAGCACCTACCTTACAGAGATATCATGAAATTAAATGAAATTAGGTATTTATGCAGCTTAACCCAGTATCTGGCTCATAAAAAGTCTTCACTGTTAACATATTTAATCCAATCTAAGATGCATCACTAAGAAGAAAAGATGCTGCCAATTCTAATTGAAACGATGATCCATTGTTGAATGCATCTTGATTTCAGAGATGTCAAAATGTGAAGAAATGTGCATCTTAGAATTGATAAAATACAGTATAGAAAACCAGCAATTAAAGTCTACAAGGGCTTTATCATTTACAAAGTACTATCGCCTCTTCATCTTCAAGGCCCTGGGAGGGGGCTGTGGTGACTCTTGTTCTATGGACAAGAATAGGAACCGTGTCTGCATCTTTCCCATCCAATATGGTGCCTGGCTCAGAGCAGGTCCCACTAAATGTTGGCTGAATGAATTAATTAATGGGTTTCCTCACTGCGAGGACACGCTGTACTAACGCTCGGAGCAACGGGCTATTGCAGCTCGTGGAGCTCCCTTCCCCTCCCCCAATGCCCTGCCTTCGGCGGGGACAGGGGGTCTTACCTCTGCCAGAGTAACGTCAGCACAGGCTTTCCTGGCATCCTGCAGGGAAAGCAGACATCAGGGGAGCAAGGGCAACGTGGGGGTGGTGGGTGCATGGGCCTTCAAGGCAGGTTGGGCTTGGGGCACGGGGGCTTGGGGGTCTCAAATATGCAAGCCAAGTTTAGAAAGTCCCTGGTCACTTCTAGTCACTCAAGAGCAAACCCAGTCCCCTCCCCCTGAGCCACACTCCCTCATGTCCCCAGCTCTTTTCTGGGGCCCCAGTGGGAGGGCTCTGGAGTTACTGCAATCTGCTTCTTGAGCTGCTCCGCTTCCTGACGCAGTTGCTCCATCTCCCCCATGGCTGACAGGTCGAGGGGTAGCTCTGGCTCCTGCCAGGAACATGGGGTCCATGTTGAGGAACCCCCACCAGGCTGTGCTTCTGCCCTTCATGCCCACACCAGACTCCAAGACACAGGGCAATGCCTGGGTGGCTGCACCCCCTCCCCAGCTAGGCTCTCCAAGTTTGGGGTCCTTTGCCTCCAGCCCCAGCCTGCCTGAGCCCTGCCTGCACCCCAGCCCAGGAGAGCAGAGCCCAGGCCAGCTCCCTCTTACTTGGGCTCTGACTGGACCTCGGCCGGGTTTCCAGCTCCGGTTCCTGGGAGCCTCCTTACTCCCTCAGCTGCGACACTTGCGCCCGCCCGTCACCTGCCCAGGCTCTGCTGCCAGAGGAGCTGGCCTGGCCTGGCTCCGACCGGTGGGGGGTTGGGGGGGCCTGACAGGGAAGGGTAGAGCCAACCACAACGTCAGGCAAATGAAATCAGCTGGCAGGGGTGGGGGGAAGAGGACAGGGAGGGAGGGAGGTGTGTGGCTTCCAGAGACTTGGGCCCAGCCTGGAGGAGGGGTGGGGGCGGGAGTGTGGGGCCGTAGAGAGGAGCAGCCCCCACCACAAGCCCTGAGAGGGGAGGGGGTGAAGGGGCGCTTCCCTGGTCAGTCTCTGCAGGCAGAGATAAGAGCATCAGGCCCCATGGGATTAGAGCAAAGCTGTGAGATTAAGGGTTGGGGTTTGGGAGGGGTGCAAAGGAGCAGAAGCAACTACAGCTCCAGTGGCCACCCCGGTCCGGGCCCCCATCCGTGGTGATGATCTCGGCAGTCAGGGCCACTTAGCAAGCAGGCCAGAAGGCGGGATATGAGGGTGATAGATGGCCCCGTTGTCAGTACCTCAAACTGTGCTCCTTAGCTCAGGGTGGTGGGGAAGAGGGTTTGGTGAGTATGGGAGGGTACAGCAGGAGCTGAGATTAGAAACGACTGATCTGGATAATCCTTCTTCTCAACAAACCCCAACCAGCTGCCTCTGGGTCTGATCCTGTGGGGGAGAAAGGTACAGGGGACCCACAGAGAACGATGGACAGGTCTGCCCCTGTTGTGGGCGGGCAAGGGAAGCCCTGCACCCTGCTCCCAGGCTGGGGCCTCGCCCCTCCTTGCCCTCGGGCGGCTGTGAAAGCAGGAGTCAGAGAAAGCAGGTGGCCCTAAGTCTCAGCGAAAGCTCAGGGAGGGAAGACAGGGCTTAGACTTGGAGGCCTAAGGAGCAGCTGCCAGGGGCTTGGGTCATTTGCATGAGGGGAGCAGGTGGCTGAGATTTCCCTGACAAATCACAGGCTCCAGGGGCCCCGCCTCTGGGAGGCCCAAAGACACCTGTCTCCTCCCAGGCCAGCCAGAGCCACCCCCACCTCCAGCTATCACAGAATCTGTGATACACTCGACTGGCCCCTGGCTGAGGGATCTTCATGACCTTTATTGCACAGACTGGGAGAGAGCAGCAGGGTTATACCCCCAACCCCACCATCCTCTTCATTTAAAGCATCAGCCTCCTCCCCTGCCATTTCCGTTCAGGGAGGCACAGTGTTCCCCATCTGTCCAGGGCTGCAGGTCTGGCAGCTGGGCCCAGTCCCGGCTCCCCAGCCCTGGTGAGCTCCAGGCTACCCTGTGCATTGTCCTCTGAGTCCAGGCCCTTGTGGGTCCCCAAGATGGTGGGGGTGCAGGGACAGAGAGCTTGCTGTTCTGCTCCTGATGTCACGCAGGGGCTTTCTGTGGGTCCTGGCATCAAGATGGCCTTGCACAAGTCAAGTGGCCCCATCCTCAAGGAGCTGGCTCAGCCACTCACAGCTCCTCCCGAACCCGAGGTGCCTTTCCAGCCTTGTCTTGGACCCTCTGGTGCCTGCGGCTAGGGGGCTCTGGGGAAGGGTCTTTGCTGGGCATTTCTTCCTCTTCCTCTTCCTCCTCCTCCTCTGACTCCTGCAGCAGTTCTTTGGCTTCTATCCACTCCTGGCATTGAGGAGGAGAATGTGGCCAGTTCCCTGCACCCACCTTCCCTGGGCCAGCTCAGCCCCTGCCCCTCACCGACTGTGAGCCTTCTCAGTGGTGCCTGCCCACCCTTCACGCACCAGGAGAACCACATCCCTTCCTACCCCACTCCTTACCTGCTCCCTGTGCTCAGGTGCCCATGTGTGCCACAGTGCCAGGGCACAGCGCCGTCCTCGAGTCACGGCCCACACCCCATGGGGATTCTCCCCACCGGAGCTGAAGGCTACAAGGCGTCCACAGCGAGGACGCACCCGAGCCTGGGGGGATGAGGGCAGGTTCAGCTCCAGGGACCGGCTCTCTCAGAGAACTTGGCCCTCACTCCCTAGAGCAGGATGGGGACAGGGGCACAGAGAGGGTCAGCCCTCTCGCTATCACTTCCCACTCCTTAATTCAGGGACTAGCTTGGGGCAAATGGGAAATCAGCTTCAACTTGCAGAGCAAAAATGCCAGATTAAGGCAAGAGAAGTTGGGAACCAAAGGAAAAAGGGGTCTCCACAGAGGGTCTCCTGTTGGTTCCTGATGCCCGGTACCCTGATTTTTCCCACTCAGCCCTTTGAACCCAGGGTGTGAAGCAATCTGGGGGTGGGCATGCAGTACCAGACTCTGTGTAGAAGGGGATATGGATATTGGAGCCATTTTCATACGCCACACCCAGAAGAAAAATCACTGCCCCTCTCCTCCTACCCAATCCTAGCCCCTGGTGTCTAGAAATTTCCCACTTAACATTCATTAATTGCTTATTATTACCAGGCACTGCCTCATTCTTTTAGGTACATTACCTAAATTGCTTCCTACAACGACCCTTTAAAATAGGTACTATTGCCCGGGCGAGGTGGCTCACGCCTGTAATCCCAGCACTTTGGGAGGCTGAGGCAGGCGGATCACGAGGTCAGGAGATCGAAACCATCCTGGCTAACACAGTGAAACCCCGTCTCTGCTAAAAATACAAAAAATTAGCTGGGCGTGGTGGCAGACGCCTGTAGTCCCAGCTACTCAGGAGGCTGAGGCAGGAGAACGGCATGAACCCGGGAGGCAGAGCTTGCAGTGAGCCGAGATCGCGCCACTGCACTCCAGGCTGGGCGACAGAGTGAGACTCCGTCTCAAAAAAAAAAAAAAAAAAAAGGAGAAAAATAGGTACTATTATTATCACCTCAATTTAGGAAACTAAACCTCAGAAAGGTTAAGAATGTGAGCCCCAGTCGAGGTGGCCCTGGTATCTGTGCGCCAGCCACTGTGCTCATCTCACTGCAAAAAGGAAGAGCTATTTCAAGTTCCCCAAATCCCTAGAATAAGGCCATGGAGTCCTGGAGGCACCTGCAAGCTCTGCTTCATTCACCCTTCTTTAGGAGGTGAGACGAATAGTGATGGCAGGGTTGGGGGGCCCACCTGCAGACCTAGCTACGGAGGAAGCAGCGGGAGGGCTGGGGAGGCAGGGAAGTGAAAGGGTTAAAAGCACAGGCCATTTCCCTGTATTTGCCTCTGGAACCTTCTGTTTTGAATCCTGACCCCACAGCTGGGCCCTCTGTCACACCATCACACACCCCCCACTCCACGCACCGTGACAGTGAGGGCGTTGGGCTCGGTGAAGAACAGGTCCCCACCCTGGAAGTCATCGTTGAGGTAGAGGAGTCCACTGCGGAGGGAAAAAGGCAAGAGGCAGTGAGACCCCAACCCAGGCCCAGGCCGGCAGTGGGATGACCTTTGTCTGCCCACCTGCCTGACCCCTAGAGGGGCTGCCCACCTGTAGTCCCGATAGGTGTAGGCTGGGGGCTCCCGCCAGCACTCTCCGGTGTCGGGGTCCAGGACACAGTTGTCTGCATGCACTGGGTGACTCAGGTCCATGCGCTGCTCTTGCTCTCCTAGGACACAAAGTGGTCTGGGGGTACCTCTGTGCCCCTGTGCCCATCTGCCACCCTGTGGGCTCATGCCGTGCACATCCACCCTGGGGCTCTTGGGGGCAGTGTCCTGGGGGCAGGGCCTGAGCTTGGAGAAGAGCAGTGGGGGTCCCTGTCATACCTTCTATGGCGCTGCGGCACACCAGGTGGGTGAAGGACAGATGCAGGGGCCGTTCCGGGGAGAAGTAGGCCTGGGTCAAGGTCCGCACCCGCTCGCTCACCTCCAGAAGCAGCTTAGCACCCTGACTGCCCACTGTCCCAGCCCGGGCCAGCTGCAGGCAGCGAAAGGCAGCACAGAAACGGAGGAAGGCAATGGGAAGGTGGTCTCAGCCCTAGCTCCTGCCCATCTCTGCTGCTCTCTACCCGGAGGTTCGGAGTGTCTCAGCATCCAGCTCTGTCCATCAGCCCAAACTGCTCCTTCTGTCTTTCCATGACAACAACCCCGGCCCCAGCTCTCAGAACATCCCTTTTCTCCATGCTGGGTCCTATCAGGTAGTCTCGGTCCCAAGAAAGCTCCTTCACAAAAGCCCAGGCCCTGGGGCCCGGCTTCCTGCACAGCCTCTCCTCCAGGTCTGGGCATCAGATGGACCCGGGTGCCTCCTGTGCTCACCTGTGCAGCCTTAAGCACTGTGAGCCCCTCGAAGCGTTCATGGGGGGTGTGAGGGGAGCGGCGACCACGATAGCCAGACCTGGCTCCAGCCCCAGCTGCATCCTAAATAGGGAAGAGTTTACCGTGGTGTCACTCCCCCAGCCCCTCACTGTCTGCAGGGCTGCAAGACCCTCCCTCCGGCCCTCCCGCTCCCAGAAGAAGCTAGATGCTCCCACAGTTCTGTTGCAGCTCCTCTTCCTGAATGCTGCTCCTTCCCAGAGAGTGCCCCCCGCCACGGCTGGCCGACTGTCCCTCTCTGGTACAGGCTGGAATCCCGCTTACCAAGGGGACTGTGGACAGAACTCGGGAGAGCTTCTTACAGCAGTAAGGGGGCCTCTGAGAGGGTAGGGACAGCTGGGAAAGTGGGGCAGAGCTGGGAACTAGGCAGGAAGGGCTTGATCATTAATCCCTGATAAGCCAAGAATAGAGGAGTCTCTCTGGAAACAGGACCCTAACAGGAAGTTCCACAGTTAGGCCAGGTCCCAGCAGGAAGCTGACCGGCGGTAGGGCGACAGCATCAGTGGGCTATCCTTCTCTGACCTCTTCCCACCTGACATTCTCTCGGGGAAACTATGGACTCCGTGGCTCCCCCACTCCTTGATACTGAGTCACAATTACCCAGCTACCTATGCGACCAGTCTCACTACCTGGAGGTCTCCTAATATTTGGATGTCTACAATGGAATCATTCCCTTTTCTGACACCCATTTTTTTGTCCACTTTTTGAATCTGTTTAAGCACCACTATCTAGTTACCCCTGCATACAAATCTCACTTCTGAGAGACACCGAGTCACCCAGGCCATCTAACCTGGGTTTTTTGTTTTTTGCTTTTGAGACCGGGTCTTGCTCTATCGCCCAGGCTGGGGTGCAGTGGCGTGATCATAGCTCACTGCAATCTCCACCTCCCAGGCCCCAGAGATCCTCCCACTTCAGCCTCCCAAGTAGGTGGGAGAATATAGGCGCATAGGCCCAGCTAATTTTTTGTATTTTTTGTAGAGACGGGGTTTTACCACAATGCTCAGGCTGGTCTGGAACTCCTGAGCTCAAGCCAGCCACCCGCCTTAGCCTCCTGAAGTGCTGGGATTACAGGTGTGAGCCACCTGGCCAGCCAACAGTGGCACTCGTCAATTACTCCGTTTTCCCGGTCTTTTCTCCTGCTGCATTCTACACACTGCCACTAGAGGGATCTACAACTTCTACAGGTTACTCCAGGCCCTGCACTTGGAGGTTCTACAGGAATGCAAAAGTCAACCGCTCCTAAAATCCTTCAATAGCTGTCTACCATACACAGATAAAAGTCCCAACTCCTTGGGAGGCCACAGAAGACCCTCACTGTCCCTGGGCCTTCATGTCTGGGCTCTCTCCCTCTTCCCCCATACTGCCTCTTGGTAACATACACCCTGATGATTCTATGTTCTTTTTAAATTAATTAATTAATTAATTTTTTAAAATTTATTTTTCGAGATGGAGTTTTGCTCTTGTTGACCAGGCTGGAGTGCAATGGCGGGATCTCGGCTCACTGCAACCTCCGACTCCTGGGTTCAAGTGATTCTCCTGCCTCAGCCTCCCCAATAGTTGGGATTACAGGCACCTGCCACCATGCCCACTAATTTTTTTGTATTTTTAGTAGAGACTGGGTTTCACCATGCTGGCCAGGTTGGTCTTGAACTCCTGACCTCAAGTGGTCCACCTGCCTTGACCTCCCAAAGTGCTGGGATTACAGGCATGAGCCACCACACCCAGTCAGTAATGATTCTATGTTCTAAGAACTTTACCATGTGCTAACTCATTTAATCCTCACAACACTATGACAAAAACACTATTATTATCCCCTTTTTATAGATGAGCAAACTAGGCTCAGAGATAGTAAAATAAATTGCCCAAGATCACACAAGTAATGACTATTGGAGCTGGCCCTGCTCTCACCCCTGTGCTTGACTGCAGTTCCCAGAATGCACCTTGCTCTTGTCCCTCTTAGACTGATTCCACCCCCCCATCACCTGGTTAACTCATCCTTCAGACTGAGCTCAAATACCACCTCTCCAGCAAGCCTTCTATAACTGTGCATTTCAGCACTTCTATTTGGATGAGTACATTTTTTTTGTTTTGTTTTGAGACAGAGTTTCGCTCTTGTTGCCCAGGCTGGAGTGCAATGCCACAATATCAGCTCACCACAACCTCCACCTCTCAGGTGCAAGCGCTTCTCCTGCCTCAGCCTCCCAAGTAGCTGGGATTACAGGCATGTGCCACTATGCCTGGCTAATTTTTTTGTATTTTTAGTAGAGACGGGGTTTCTCCGTGTTGGTCAGGCTGGTCTCAAAACTCCCGGCCTCAGGTGATCCACCCGCCTCAGCCTCCCAAAGTGCTGGGATTACAGGCATGAGCCACCACACCCAGCCCAAGTACATACTTCTTTTACCAAACTTACCACCTGCTTATATTATGTATTTCCTTGTCTGTTTCCACCTCTACACTGGAGCTCCCAAAGGGCGGAGTCTATAATCATCTTCCTCTCCCTAGAACCTAGCAGTTTCTGGGGTACAGCAGCTACTCAATGAGTATGTTACTGAATGAGCACTAACCTGAGATAAGGGTTGAAGCTTCATAAATGGTAGCCTCAACCTGGTGAGTATGAGTCATTCAGCCCAAACTAGAAGGAGGGAAAGAAAGGCCTGCGTGTCTGCTGAGCCATCAGTCAAGCCAGTAACTAAACTCTTGGCTAACCAAGCAATCCTTACCTGCACACTCATCCATTTTTATGCCTTTGTGGTTTTTGTTTTGTTCTTCCTATCAATTTCTAGCAAAATTTGTAAAGAACATCCACCTGTGTCAGCTAAATTAAGACCCGAAGGAACTTATCCGCAGCTGAGAGGCAGTGGTAAGCACAGTCCCGGTTGGATAATCAGGACAGGCAGAATGATGGGGGCAGGCCAAGAGCAAGGGAACAGGCAGTTGTACCCAAGGGTCTTGAATGAGCTGATGAACTTGCAGGTCTTCCTACCTTAGCCAGCTGCAGCAGCACCCCACACTCAGCTGGGGTGAGCAGCCCATCCAACACCGCCCGCTCCGACCCATTCAGCTGCCTGGAATCCTGGGTCAAGGTCACACCCTCCAGGAGAAGGACATCTGCCAGGGAAAAGACAGAGCAGAGGTGGCTGAGCAACCCCTAAGGGCAGGCAGAGCAGTAGCTGGCAGCCCCCAGACCCTCCAGGCTCCTGTCTCCTCCCTCCCAGGAACTCACCCTTCCAGTAGGTCAAGGGCTTTGGCTTCGGGGGCTCATGGTCCCAAGGCCTCTTCTCTTGATCCTCTCTCAGGGGTGAGAGATGTGCTCAGTGGGTGCACAGGACAGTCCAGACCCAGCCTCCCAGCTAAGGCCGAGTGCCTCCCACCACAGGGCATCTCCTACCTGAGCTTTTCTCTAAGTGCCTCAGGGATGAGAGCTGCAGGGGTCCAGGGGTCCTGTGACAGTCCAGAAAAGCATCATCACCCACCAAGATCAGACCCTGGGATCCCTTACATTAGAGCTGAAATATCTCGTTAAGGTCCTCCTGTTTCCAGAGAGGGAGACGGAGGTAGGAAGAGCCTGGGAATCAATGTCAGGAGCCCTGGGAAGTGGACCAAACTCTGTAACAAGTACAACTATAACTCGTATAGCACTTACTATCTATCAGCTGGGGGCTATTCTAAGAGCTCCATTCATGGAAATTGAATTTCTCCTTTAAAGTTCACAATAGTCTCATGAAACAGACAGTATTAAAGTGCTCATTTTGTAATTGAGAGCCCTGAAATATGGAGAAGTAAAGTAACATGCTCAAGATCACACAGCTAGAAGTGACAGAGTTAGTTGTTTGTTTGGTTTTTTTTATTTTTTTTTATTTTGAGACAGAGTCTCACACTATCGCCCAGGCTGGAGTGCTATGGTGCGATCTCGGTTCACTGCAACTTCTGCCTCCCGGGTTCAAGTGATTCTCTTGCCTCAGTCTCCCAAGAAGCTGGGATCAAAGCCACCCGCCACCACGCCTGGTTAATTTTTTGTATTTTCAGTAGAGACAGAGTTTCACTATGTTGGCCAGGCTGATCTTGAATTCCTGACCAAGGCCCACCTCAGCCTCCCAAAGCAGAGTCAGGTTTTAAACTAGCCTCAGGCCAGGTGCAGTGGCTCACGCCTGTAATTCCAGTACTTTAGGGGGCCGAGGCAGGTGGATCACCTGAAGTCAGGAATTCAAGACTAGCCTGGCCAACGTGGTGAAACCCCATCTCTACTAAAAATGCAAAACTTAGCCAGGGAAGGTGGTGGGCACCTGTAATCCCAGCTACTCGGGAGGCTGAGGCAGAAGAATCACTTGAACCTGGGAGGTGGAGGTTGCAGTGAGCCAAGATCACACCTTTGCCCTCCAGCCTGGGTGACAGAGCGAGACTCTGTCTCCAAAAATTAAAATTAAAATTAAAAAACTAGCTTCAGAGTTCTCACTTTTAACCAGTGGTTCTCAAGCAGGATACTTCTGCCCCCCAGGGGTCAATTAAGCAAAGTCTGGAAACATCATTGATTGTCATGACTCAGGGGCTGTCAATGTGCTATTGATCTCTACTGGGTAGAGACCAGGGAAGCTGCTGAATACCCTCCAAGGCATAGGACAGGCCCTGCCCTCTGCCCCAACAAAGCATTATCCAAAATGTCAGATCCACAACATCAGTAGTGCCAGGAAGGCTGAGAACGCCTGCTTTATGCCCTAGTCCTAGCCACAGATAACCTCTGCCCCACAGTTTCCTCTCATAACTACAAGAAGAGAAATAAAAGCAGCAGTAACAGAGCTTTCTATATTGTTATCAAATGATGGGGTTTCAACAACCCTGTGACAACCCTGTGAAATAGATGTGATTATTCCAACTTACAGGTAAGGAAGTTGAGGCAGAGGCAAGTTGAAGTTCAGAGACGTTTGGGGCAGAGGAGGACTGACACTTAGGACTGTGTGACCCCAAAGCTGCCCTAAGGACAGGCACACTATCTCTGTCCCTGTAAAACTGGGATGGCAGACTCTTCTCCAAGCCTCATGGTGGAAAAGTGGAAAACTCTGTTGCAAACCAAAGTGCCATTCCTCCTGGGAGTGCGGAGGGGTGGGATGGGACAGAAGCAGAATGACTCACAGGATCCTTGAAGCTGGTCCCCAGGTGCTCCATGGCATAGTAGAGCTGCCTCTTCTCCCCCAGGGATCGGAGGATGAAGCGTTGGATGTCCTGAGGGTGAGATGATGAGCAGTGAAGGGGGGCTGCAGGAGGGCAGGGAAACCCAGGCTCTAGGGCACTGCCTGGGTGCTCCATGCTCCCTGAACCTGGCACCATGCTCCCTGGTTCCTCCGTTCAACATTCCCCCTCAGCAGCTTCAGAGCGTCTGGGCTCAAACTGGAAAGGGTGTAGGGGGTGGGAGTGTGTGTGAGTGTGTGGGTGTGTGTGTGCATGAGCTCGGGGGCTGGTGGCAGGCAGGAGTGAGGTAAAGGCAAGAGAGATGGGACTGAGGGCTGGAATCGGAACTCCAGGCTGCCGTGGGGAGCAGGGAGTGGAGATGGAAGTCAGATGCTGGACTTGGAGTCCTCTGGGTGACTAGGATGCTAGGCTAAGAGGTCAGCAGGGGGTGGGGGTCCAGGTTGCTTCTCAGGTCTATTTGTTTGATTTGGGGCTACCTCCCAGGTAAGGGTGGAGAGCGGGTTACCTCTCTGGGTCCGAGGCCAGGTCTCGGCTCTCCCAGCTGGGCCTGGTACTGGTTCAGAGCCCTCTTGGCAGCCTCATCGTCCGGGTAGAAGAGCAGGACACTCAGGACATTTTCTATAGCCTGGGACAGATTGCCCACTGGAGAGGGAGTGACAAGGTCAGGGGTCAGGGGATAAAGACTTAGAGCACATTCATCCTTGGGGCAGAGGCAGTGCTGGAGAAGGTGGTCTCCAGAGGCCAGCCGGCCAACTCCAAGAGCCCCCCTCCCACTGGCAGACAAGTTCAACTGCCGGTTCTTTCAAACGCTGGTGCAAACATACCTTAGCTGGAGATTTCAAAGAAGAGCAAGAGGGAGGAAAATAAAGGAAGGTGAGAAGCAGCAAGGCAGAAGGAAGCCCATCTCCTGAGCTTGTCACAGGCGCCAAAGGAGAGCAAATTAGAGTCCTTGTGAAGTGATGGTTCCCATGGAGCCCTGACAGTGAAACTACAAATCCAGAGACAGATGGGAGGGATAGAGAGATGGAGCTCAGGATAGCAGCAGAGGCAAATCTTCACTCCGCGTTTCCACCCTTCCCAAACTGACCCTGAGCATGGGCCTCATGTAGCCGCCTCAGCTGGCTGGGAAGGAAGTCTGGGACAGGGAAGCTGCGACCAGGGCGTGTGGCTGTTTCCCCTACACAGCGTTGCCGGCACTGCAGGACCTGAATCCAGTGTCCTGCAGAGGAGACCCGTGAGCCATTCAGCTTGTTCATGCCCCTCCCTGGGCACCGACCCACCCCACACACACTCCCAGCCCCTTACTTGCAATGGCCTCATAGAGGCCCCCCTGGCTCCCAGCCCCATTCTCCTCTTCTTCAGCCCCCTCCTGCTCCTCAGGGCCCTGGCAGTCAGCACGGCAGCTCTCCATCTGGGCCAGGCTCCCCTGCAGGGCCTCCTCTAGCCTGGGCAGTGCCAGTCCTGCCTCCTGGCGCTCCAGTAGCTCCAGGCCGGTGTCATAGGCTGCCTGTTGGGGAAGGGAGCAGTCACCTGAGATCCAGGGGGTTGCCAAACTGGGAGGTAGAGAGGAGAGTGGTGTTGGTCTCATTTGGGGCAAGGACTCCATGTCCCTCTTCACCATGGAGAAGAATAAGGGTGGGCCTCAGAATCATAATGTTGGAACATCAGATTTCAGCGATCATCCAGGAAGGAAATGAAGTCCTAGAGAAGGACTCCCCACCAGGGTCACTGAGGATCATGACCCCATCTCCGTATGCTCAAGCAGCACAATGCAGCAGTTTAGTGAGGCCTGTGTACCCCGCCAGGAAAAGGCTGGGGGCAAGACAGGGGTGGTGCTGGGGGTCTCACCCAGTGTGGGGGCGTCTCCAGGTCCCGGAAGCTCTGGGGCTGAACTCCCGACATTCGTCTGTACTTAGCCATGTCCTCTCGCATCTGCAGGTGCATGGGGTTTGCTACAAAGAAGGTGTGTGCTGCCGCGGCCGCCAGATCCAGCTTCTTCAACTGAGGAGGCGGAGGGAGGAGGGCATCAGAGCCCTGGGATGGAGGTCACACCTCTGCTCCCTGGTCGACCTCCCCACCCTACCCCAGACACACACTCTGGGTGCCCAAGAGCCTCATGGAAGACTGGCCAATAAGAACCGCCCACCGCGCAAATTGCAGACCCCCTAGAAGCCAGAACGTTGGGACTCTCAGAAGGCTGACACCGAAGGAAAGGGGGTCTAAAGACGTCGGAGTTGGGTGGGACATGGGCCTCAGGACTTCAGGACCTCGATTTGGGAGACCAGGTGGAAGTGATGGGCTTAAGTGAGGTGGGGAAGCGGGGGAGACCTCAGCGACCAGCAAAACCCGCAGGTCTCTAGGACCCTGAGCTGAGGTGAGTGCAACCGGCGCCCCGCTTCCCCAGCCACGTAGGCAACTGCTGCGGTACCAGCGGCTGCGGCGTGCTGTCCCCTCCCCGCCCGCAGAGGTCTGGCCTCGGAGGCCTCCAACCTTGCCTCCGTCTGCTCCTTCCTTTCCGAAGCTACCTCCTGCCCCAAGCGAAGGTTCACACTCACCACCACCCCCGACACACACACACCCACGCACACTTCCCGTCCGACAGCCGGTTTCGCCCCCACCGCCTCCGCTTCATTCCTAGGAAGAGGCGGCCCTGTCCCTCCATCTTCGATCTGCTCCCGACCCGCCTCACGACCTCCCCGCCCCATTCCCACTCTGCTCGCACTCCCCCTCGGCTGCTCTTCTGAGATCTCAACAGGTCCTCGCGGTCGCTTAGCCAGCTCCAAAGCAGAGGCCCGCGGTACGCCCCCCAGCCCCGTCCGGGGTCCGGGCAACAGCATTCCGCCTACTACTGGGCATCGTAAAGTAGGACAGCGTCGTGGTGAGGGCTGGGACCCTCGGAGCTGCCCGGCCCGCTCCCCACCTGGTAATAGGCCCTCTGCAGGTAGTTGTAGGGCTCCCGACGGCGGAAGGCGTCCCGGAGCGTGCTCCCCACGCGAAGCCGCGCCGCGCCCCCGGGGCCCAGCCTCCGTGCTGCGCACTGGGTCAGGCAGTCTGCGCGGCGGAGCGCTGCACGGAGGAGCTGTCGCTCCCAGGACCCCTGCGTGGGTCCCGGCCCGGGGTCGGGCTCCGGGGTCCCGAGAAGCACGGCGGGGAGCGCGGCGCCCGGCTCGGCCGCGCAGCTCGCCCCGCAATCCAGCCGCACCCGGCCCAGCGCCGCCTGGCTCCGCAGCGCCTCCCGCAGCAGCGCCACGGCCGGCGCCCAAGCCCCGGCCGCGTAGGCGCGCAGCCCGTCCGCGTAGAGCAAGTCGGGGGCCTGCGGGGGCGCTCCCGGGGACAGCTGGGCCAGGCCAGGGGGCTCAGGGGACCCCGGGGGAGGCAGCAGCAGCAGTAACAGCAGCGGCCGGAGGAGCCGGAGCATGATGTCGGAGCCGCCGGCCGCCGAGGGGAAATGCGGGAGCCGAGAGGGAGGGAGAGGAAAGGGGGGAAGGGGGAGGGAGGGGAAGGAAGGAGAGGTGGAGAGGCGGAGGGAGAGGGAGAAGGGATGAGGGAGGCCGAGAGAGAGAGATGGGGCTGAGACCCGATGGTGGGAGAGGCCCATGTGAAAGATGGAGAAAGAAGAATGCTGAGTGGAGAAAGCTGGTCTAGTGTGGAACGAGAGGGAGAAACTGGGAAGAGGAGGGCAAAAGGCGGGAACTGGAGCAGGCCTGGGCATCCATGGAGGACCAGCGGTGACTTCAGCCCCTGAGGTCTGGAGGTAACTACTGGGGCAGTGTTCCCTCCACACACCCGCTTCTGGGTCCAGAAAAAGGACTGTGGACGCCGACCCCCGCTCCTCCCCCTCCCCCCTCCCCACACACACTCATCCACCCCTACACTCCTTTGGAGAAAGAGCTTTAAAATGCAGCAGGGAGGAGGTGTCCAGGCCCGGGACACTACGTCAGCCCCAAACCCTTTCCTGCCCATAAAGTGAGCCCCTGGATGGATTTGGGGTTAGGAGAGTTGGGCACTGGGACTGGAGCCACGCTCTAAAATCACCTCAACAAATCTGAACAGAGATCCTTCACATCCCAAACCAACAAAGACATGTGTGTCCTTAAGCCCTGCCCCCAGCAGGATATGCTCCTCCCAGCCTTCCCTGTGCGAGGCTGCCTGGTGGAGCGTGTGATCATTTCTCCATGTGTCCTTCTGTGCCTCTGTCTGCTGCCCCTGCTCCGTCGTGTCCTCTGTGAGCCTCTCCACCCTCCAAGCCCCTTTCCATCGCAGTACACTGGACACTGAGGTTTCCATGGCAACGTTTCAGACTTTAATACATATTGCTGGGGTGATGGAAGGTGAGTAGGGCATCTGGTCACTTGGATGGGAGAGAGCAGGGCCTTCTGAGCCCCAAATCTAGCGCCCGTCTCCCCAGAGTCTGGAGGCAGCTGCCCTACTCTCAGGGCCAGAATGAGGTGTTACTCACTCAGGCTTCCTCCTCTGAGTTCAGCAGGCCTGCTTGGGCTCACAGGGTCAGCTGGGGAAAGATAGGGTTGCCTGGGCCCCAGGATCCTCCCCAAGCCCTTGCACTTTCTTCAGCCCCCGTGAGGGAGCAGCGTCTCCCTGCACTTAGTCCCAAAGGAAGTCCAACAGCTCTGCTCTCAGGGGACCCAAGGGAGAGTCGGCGGGGTGAGAGGCCCAGTGGCCGGGGCCGACGAGGAGAGTGCCCTGGTGAGGCAGTCGGAGAAGGCAGAGGTGTCTCATCGATGAAGGTGGTGATCTCCTCCCGGAAGAAGCCAGGGCCCCGTGGGGGTCCCCCACCTGACCCCAGAACCCCACTCTCCAAGAATTGGCGAAGGCTGGCTAGCCCCCCACCACCTTCAGCCTCCTCCTCGTCCGCCTCATCCTCCAACCTGTGTCTTTGTCCCAGGTACTCAGGAGGACCCCCGAGGGCCCGGCTTTGGTCTGGGAGGACCCGGATGTCATCAGAGGATGACCACTTGTGCAGGAAGGAGCCTGGTTCCCGAGGGGTAGAGAAGATGTTTGTCTCATCATGGGACAGACGCCGGGATAGGGGGACCTGGGAAGAGGAGCAGGTAAGACCTGAAGGTGCTGCAGGGACAGAGGCAGAGGCAGGAACCAAGTGGGGACTCCAGAAGATGGTGCCACCTTCTTAACCTTCTTCAAAACGTTTGCTCCGGTGGGCAAACCTGGCCCCACGAGGTCTGAAGGGATGCCTCTCTTACTATAGTTTTCTTTCACCCAGCTTTATGGTGCCCTGAAAGCCAGGGCTAGGGAAGAGGGGATTGGGGTGCATAACAGACACTGGAGAAAAGTGATGAGGGGCACCAAGGGTAGGAGGTGTATCCCCCAGTTCCATACCTGTAAGTAGTGGACTCTCTCAAGAGGAGGGAAGAGCATGTGCCTTCCAGGAAGCAGCTTCACCTGGGCGGGGTCCCGGCTCCCTGGTCCTGTAGCTCCGTTAGCATCAAAGCGAACTTTGCAAACTCGGCCCTCTGCATAGTCATCACAGCCCCCATCTAGGAGAGAAAATGGGCAGAGCTGTTACAGGCAGGGAATGCCTACCAACCCCGCCCACTGCCTTTATAAGCTCCCAGAGACCCCTTTAGTTCCCATTAGCCTATATGTGCCGAGAGGACAGTGAGAGTAGCTAGCATTTTCTGTGTTCAGTGCTAAATCCTGAGTGGAGTGCTTCATACATATAGATGAAGTTATTGAAACAATTACATGCCCTCCCCCAAGAGCCATCCCTATAGCTGGGGGCCTCTCTCAGGAAGCTCAGGTTCCCCATAGTGCCAGAGCTGGGTAGTGTGGACTTCTGGAGGGGAGCCTAGGCCCGGTGAAGGGAGCCCTGAGTGCTGCCGGAAGCAGTAAGTGGACAGCAGGGTGCCTGCTTAGGGAAAGGGGAGCCCAGGGTGGTGCAGGTTCTGTCCAGTAGGGGGCACTCCAGGGCAGCCCATCCTCTGACTGAGAAGGAACGGCAGGAAAGGGAATAGATAGATGTCCAGGAAAGCCAAAGCCCAGCCCCTCCTCTGACCGTCATCTCCATCCTCCTCAGACATGATGGCCACGCATTGCTCCCACACTGTGCGCACGTCGGCGCGGTAGCGCTCGCAGGACCAGATGAAGGAGGGCAGCAGCAGCGTCTGTGCCATGGAGCACCACAGCACAGCCAGCACCATCCAGGGGGGCGCCGAGTCCGACTTGAGAGAGAAGAAGCTCACCACCTGGGGAAGGGTGGGAGTGGGCTGGGTCAGGGCCAGAGCTGAGGAGCCCACCTGAACCCCATATCCTAGTGCAGCTGGTGGGCAAGACGTCAGAAGTAATGCCTGATCCCTGTGATCCAACAGAGGTGAAGCCGGAGGTGGAGATGGAGTGAACAGAGGGAAGGAACTGACTCAGAGGAAGGTCGGGGAGAGCGCTGGAGGCAAAGCCCTGCGGTCAGGAGGGAGAGGAACAGAGGCGGACCAGGAAGCATAGAGACAGAGAGGAACCCAGGAACAGTGACTAGATGGGGTGGTGGGGTGAGCCCTGTGGGGTTTCCACCCAAGACTGCTCAGAGACCATGTGGCATCCAGAGGGAAGGAGGGAATGGAGAGTGGAGCCCAGCAGCTGGATGAGAGGTCTGCGGCTGAACTGTGGAGCTGCAGGATGGATGACGGAGCTGGAGGACAGGTAGTGGAACTGAAGGACGGTGATGGAGCTGAGGAGTGGGAACTGAAGCAGATGCTGGAGCTGGGGTAGACAGGGTAGTGGGAACTAAAAGTCAGATGATCAAGATGGGGGCCACAAATGGAGTGGGGGATGGACAGAGGAGAGGAAGATGGATGATGGAACTAGAGGAGAGATGACGGAGCTGCTGTATGGCTGATGAAGTTGGAGGTCAGGTGATGATGCTGGGGCCTGGATATTGGGGAGAACAGGTGGGGAGGACCCCGATCTCACCAAGATGGGCACCCCTGTGAGTGAGTCATAGAGAAAGACGATGGCGCTGACCAAGTTGGTGACCTGCAGGGATGTCTTGGCAGACTCCGAGCCATCCAGCGAGGACCGCCGCTTCCCTCGGGCATCCTCCACCACAATGGCTGGCACCTCAAAAGCTGGCCGGGTACCCAAGCCCCCTGGCCCACCCGCTTTGGTCCCCCCACCGCCCCCCACTCTCCGGGCCTGCCGAGCCCTCCTGGGCCGGGCCCACAGCGTCTGGTAGAAGGTGATGGCCACACAGACCAGCCCCATGACAATGCCCCCGAGTAGCAAGAGGCTGAAGCAAACACCAAAGCCGAGGCCGATCTTGGAGACTATGAACTGGCAGCCGCGGGCATAGTAGCGCTCGCCGTTGTTGTGCCAGCCAATGGAGGGCAGTGTGGAGAGGATGAAGCTGACCATCCAGATGCCCATGACGGCATGCAGCGCCTGCTTCTTGGCGTTGCTGAGGCGGTAGTTGACTGGCCAGCGCACCATCCACATGCGATGGTAGGAGAGCGAGGCGACCGTGAAGCAGGTGGCCAGGGCCAGGGTGTAGTAGGTGGACACGAAGACCTTGCAGATACTCTCGTTCCAGTCATAGTCGGAGGAAGCCTGACGCCGCAACTGTACCACAGCAAAGGTGGTGAGGGGCACAGCTGCCATGAGTATGTGTGTGCCCGCTAGGAAGCACAGCAGCAGCTCCAGTGGCTTGTGCTTCTGCTGCTTGGCCGAGATGCTGAGGATGATCCAGGCATTGGCCAGCAGCGCCAGGAGCCCACAGGCCAGCCAGGACAATGCATTGGAGCGCAGGGAGGCCTCCTCTGCCCCCGCCCCGCCCCGAGCCATCCTATCCTCAGCCCCCCACCCCCTTGAGCTCCGTGGGGGTGGGGGCTAGGTCTCACCCAGGAGCCCCACTCACAAACATGCCCATGATCCCCACAATCCTCGCCCTGTCAGCAGGCAGGCTGCCCCCAGGCTCACCCCAGTGCTCAGCATTGCATGATCGACCCAGCTGAGGGCAGATGTGGAGGGCAGGGGAGGAGACTGAGGGTCAGCAGAGGCAGTCCTCAGCTTTCATACTGGGTGGGGCCTTCCTTAAGCATCCCTGCAATTGATGGGGCAGGCAAGCTGGCTACTTTCCCAACTGTGAGGCTGGCTGGGGGGTTCTGGTCCCCATGCTGGGACTTCCAGGTCTCTTTTTCCTCTTGTTCTTGACCAGTCAGGAATCTTCTGGATGCCCCAGGGATTTGGGGGTGGGGCTCAGCCCCCTGGACAGGCTGCAAGGGAAAGATGAGATGTGGGAGGGAGAGGGCAAAGGTAGGGCATAGGCTGGTCTATAACCAGCCTCCTGTGCCCCCTTTCTTGAAACTATAGGGATAACTGATTACTAGGGCCCTGAGGGTCATTCACAACATTCCTTTGCCTTAAATCAGACAGCTAAACACCCCGCACAGATGAGAGCCCCGCTCTTCCAGACCTCTAGGGAAGAGGGTATTCCCACCTCCCTGTCTCCTTTAGCCCTTTCTCCTCCCGCTGGAACTCCCGGGTTCCTTCTTAGAACATCCCCTGCTCAGCACTACTCCACCCCTATCTTCAAGTCCCTAAATGTCTCTTCAGAACTACTGATGGGAGACACATGACTGGTTTCCTCTTGAGGGTTCACAGTGAACGGGGATATGGCATTACAGCCTTCCTCCCCTACCTGCCGGTCTCCTGGATGCGGGGGTCTTGGTGCTTAGCCCCTACTTCCCCAAACCTGGATGATCACCCTCCAGCTCCCCAGATCTGGGAAAATGGGAGAAAGGAGTCTGGGACC